AGCTCAAAACAGTCAATATAACTCATCAATTAATAAATCACCAGTATGCAATTGCAAAAGAAAACAGTAGTCTCTAGAAACACAGCAACAATAAGCAGCCCATGGCTAAAACCCGAGGACATAAGTTTGAATTGACACATAGAAAAGGCTGCAGACCCGGGAGCTGTGTGAAAGAGTAAACGGCGCAGTTGCATCTTCAGTTCAATCAATGGAACAAGTGTTGTGCGCCCGACTCCCGCAGTGATGTCTTTAACAGAACACAGATGGTAAGCTCCACTGCTGAATCCCCGGGAGAGCTGTCTGCAGGAACCATGCTTTCAGGTCAAAATCAGGATCTAAGGCCTCACCACACCCCCCAAAAGACACAAACTACACACCAAACCAAACTCTTTGACTCAAATAAAAGCTATACTTGCCTAAAGGACAGACAAATTGGCGGTAAAGAGCTACTTGGACATCCTCAAATGCTGTAGTTAATGCCATGATGAATAAGTGCATGTTTAGGGCAGACCTCAAAAAAACATTAGCAAGTCTGCCACACATCTGAAGACAGCAGCCCCGCAGACGGCTCCGAACGGATCCAAAAGATGAAAGAGTGGACTCTGAACAGAGCACAGATGAAGACAGATGTCTTCATCGGCTTCACCCTTTTTGTCAATATGGCGGACAAAAGAGGATGACACGAGACAGAGTGTTCAAAACCGATGGAACACATTATTAATTCGTCAAATAATTAGCTTAACCGGTATTTTTTGACAGAGGCCTACATAAATTCTATTTGAGTTGGCGGGTCGGTGTTGATACAACTCTATGAGAACAAAACAATTTTTTAAAGAAATGTTGAAAGAGAAAATGTCCAAACGTGTTGGATTTGTGAAACCCACCATATTATTCTTGAGTTTCAAAGTCCTATCTACTGGCCAACATGACTCTTCAAAACTGTGACCACTTCTAGACACCTACACCTTTATGAGAAAATAATTAGACCATAGTTGATATGTTCCGTCAGAGAAGATGTTAAACTTTATGGCCCAGAAATTACAGAGTAATTACCTATAACCCAAAATAGTCTGACTTTGACACTTACCATATTTTTCAGGAAAGATTATTCAACTGCCCTCCACCACAATGTTAAACTATAGGCTGTTTGGAATGATGGCGTGATGTCACATGAACATGATGAACGCAACCTATTCCAATGTTTTAGAAACTGTCGTATTTGAGGCTGTTGGTGTTGATAGAAGAAGATACCTTGTTGTATATTGGGAAACTTTTTAAACATGAAATAAACGTTTTATTTTGACCGTTTTGTCTTTTAGTGCACAAAAGTACTCAGCTCTTGTTTGTAGGCAAAGGACACAATCCAGTGTAGCTTTGTTTTAATGAAGTCCGCAGTTCTACCCCCTGGTCTCGTCATCCCAGGGCCACTGTAACTTTGTGAGCGGTCCCTCTACGCGTTTACTGCCTCCCCCTCTGATCCCAGGATAGTTTACTAGAGGAAATCTGTCTGAACAAGCTCGACGGCTCTGCGAGAGTTCTGTGACTGGGTTTTCCTCGCATCCGATTAGACGGTGTGACTCTGTGGGAGGGCTGTCGGAGCTTTTGCGATTGGTCGGTTGCTTCTGGAGGCGGAAGTGGGCATTTAAAAGACCTCAAAGCCGGGGGGTGGCTATCTCTAACTGGCAATAAAAGCCTCAACAAGTCTTTGACGTCGACAATGAAGATGGCAAACAGGCTAAATGGGTTAAGCAGAGTCAAGACGTGCCAACATAAAAGAAACAGCAGAAACCACAAAATTTTAACTTCATAGAATGTGTTTTTCACCTGGCGTTGTGTGGATCGTATTGTGGAATTCACTTGAAATTCAGCTAGATTGCATGCTTAAAAACAATTTCAGACCATTAAAAAGTCTGTCTCGCCGTTAATAGCACTAGGGTTTGGGATGTGGTTTGTCAGCACAGATAAAATGGGCTACTCTTTATTCATTATGTGGAAATAGAAGGTTTTGAAAGGCCAGGTTCAACTCAGATTTCAAAGAAAGCTCAAAAAGTGATGATAAAAATACTACAGGCAGTAAAAGTCCAATCCGCATGTATGTGATTCATGGCTTTCTGTTAGTTTGCTTTGATTGTCGTTCCTTTGCTATGACAATACAAGCTATAATGCTAATGCTAACTGGCTCTCGTAGACACGCTGCTTTTCCCGTTACCTGTCTAATCATGAATAAGCCTGAGACAAAGACGAGCTCTCTGACTCCTCATCTCCGTCTGAAAGTGAAGTCTTGAGTCAGCCATTTGAGTCCCGGATCCATCCAGTGCATATTCCTGTGTGCTGTCAGCCTCACACAGTCAAGTGTCAAAGTGTTTTTTTTCTGAAAAGAGTGCTGACGGGGGGAAAACATACTTAGCAGCCACCATAGGCGCACACTGCCAACTTGGATTAGAGCTGTCCATGTGTCCGCGTTTATGCTAAGACCAATGCTTATCGTGCAAGCTGTTGTTGAACTGGCATAGCCTCTCGCGGAAGGAGAAAATACTGAAAACAAGATACTTAGCAATATTGGAAATCATTTTGGAAAGTGATGAAAAACCATCCGCAGACCGAGCCAAACCGACAGAGTGAATTTGGCTTAATATTTTAACATTGAAACAATACGTGGATTATTCTCTATAGTTTTAGGGACATTTCCACTTAGCTGTGTTTTGCAGAGTTGTATTTATGTCTATGTCTAGTGTCACCAATAAGCACAGCCTGATCTGTCACTACATGCCTCTCTCAGCAAGACGCAGGCCAATTATCTTATCTAACTGTGAAGATACAAAAAGATTAATCTGTCTCGAAAAAAAAAAAAAAAAACCTAAAACTCCCTCAATGACGTTTAAGGGACATTATGCGCATTAATGGCCACACCATGGACAAATGGATGTGTTTTTTTATTATTGATTATTGATTATAAAGACGGCACCGTGGCAAGAGCTGTGCTGTGTGTCGTGTCAGCGACTACACTGGGGTAGTCTTGCACAGTTTTTCCAATGTGGTTTTACTGCAAATGGCAAATAAATGAATCTGAATCTGAATCTCTGATCTGTTGTTGGCTAATAGACAACTTTGATAACTGCTGTTGTGATTTAGGGTCCTATAGATCTACTTCATTTATTGCCCTGTTTTTGTGTGAACCCCGGACACCATCATAGTATTTCCAACCCAGTAATGCCAATTGAAATATTTAATCAAAAAAAAAAAAAAAAGAAAAAAAAAAAAAAGAAACCAGTTATATAATAAATAATCTTTTGCTCAGAAGAACTTGAGCAAACATTCTACTGAAAAAAAATACTTTGGGGCTTTCCTTTCTCGGATTTACGTGGCCAAAAAAAGAAGAATAGCAGTTCTCTTTTGAAATTATCATGAGAAATAATTGTGATTACAACAATGTTTGGCATAAAAGAGCAGCCTTGTGGCCAACTGGATCTTATCAAACCACTTCAACATTCAGCATCAGTCAGTGAAAATAGCTCGGTGTGATTCATACTGTATATTTTGTTCCAGTCTGTTGATAATGGTCAGACTGAGGCGATAAGTATTAAGATAAAACTTCTGTGTTCTCTTTTGGAATGTTCAACCAGATAATCTTTGCTAAGGCTCCAGTCATAAATGGCTCATGTCATAAACAAGGTGCGAAGTGAGTTCTTATTGGCTTTTGAGTTGTATTTTGTTGTATTTATGGGGTGATCACAACGAAACGGTTGTAATAAATATTGTGTAGGAATGTTATGTCTGACACAAAAAAGTAAACATTTATTTTTAAACAACTTTACACAATCAACAGCCTGTTATAACACTGTACCACCAGCAAACGCAGAAAGAATATAAAGTAGTATTATCATAGCGGAAAAATAGTGACATTTTTAACACACAATAATAGTGTTTTCATTCATATTAGTATGTAGTGTTGACTAGTTGTGATTTGACTCAGCTCCTTCCAAATCTGTTGAAAAAAAAGTCAGATTTTTACTTCTATTTTGTTGAAACTTAATCACACAAGTGTTCAGTCTGTAATTCTCGTTCTGAAGACTACCTACGTGTCTGCTATAATGGCATAATAACAGGCATGTCTTTTTTTTACACCTGTTGAACAAAGCATTTGCACTGTCATTTGATTATTTTTTTGCTGTTGTTGACTAAAAATAAGGTAGAAAAGCTTGAACACCCCAAGCAGACATCCCATTACATATATCACTTATAAAACACCTGGAGGATAGTAATGAATGGAGAGACCAGACAGTGCACCTCTTGCAGAACAAAGGGCAGTCTATCCCAAAAATCAGACTGAAATAAAACCCTAGTGAGCACACTTTGATTTCATCTTGTCTTGATGCCTGGGCAGAGGAGGGAATTGTGCAAGAGACAGTCCACTCCAGAGGCCCACATCTGGACCACATTAGGGACAACTCGGTGCATGCACGGTTACCCCAGCCTATCAAACTACCAGTCATTTCATAGTTTTTTCCACGTTTTTACGCCTCACTGGGAGCAGGTGAACAGTCAGATGCATGCGTCTTTTAGTTTAGCAAAAAAAAAAAAACACATGGAAAAGTAGCGATATGGGCTATAGCTAACGCACACTGACACTAGCTAACATTCACGGGGGGAGGCCTGTTGCTGCTGTAATTTAACATACAGAGGCAACATATAATAACATTTGTCTAAGAATATGCTGTGATGATTAGGTTTTAAGATGCTTATATTGCTAACAGGTTGTCACGCGCGTGGGTTTAAACAGAGGAATGCAAAAAGGGCATGTTTGTTTGCCCACCTTCTTGCGTAATGGACCTATGCGTATTAAAAAAAAGACGTGCAAAATGAGCGCAATAATTTCATGTGCAAAAAAATATATATAACAGCATTTAATAGAAAGGTTTGTGGTACAACATGGCACGGTCCTGGCTCCTTCACTGTTGTATATACAGAGCGGGGACTCGATGAGACGAGCGGGGTCTTACCTGCAGTCTCTCCGAGGCTGGCTGCCACATTGTGTCGGAGTGAAAGGAGCGATCGGGGGTTGTTTTTTTCGGCTGCGTGTGGTCGTGTTGGCGTAGTCCGGCTCGGCTCACATCTGGTCGCCTCCTCGCAGCTCGCCTCTCCGTGCTCCTCTTTCACTAGTGTCTGGACCTCTGCTGCCGCCGCTGCTGCTGCTGTCGGATGGGATGAAGGTGTCGCTCCGCCTGCTGCTGTGTAGTTCCCGCTGCGGCCAGCAGGTGGAGCGCGCACCTCTGTCTGTCTCCCGCCAACACGGTGCGTTCACGTGCAGTCAGAAATGGCGGAGGATTTGTTTTTGTTTGTTTTTGTTGTTTTAAAGTGTACACATGCCACATAAATTTGAGACACGCATTCAAAATGGTTAAAAACAGGCTGTGGAGATTACTTTGTTTTGATAGAGGTGCAACGCCCGGTCTTTCTGATTCACCCGATAGACGCCAAAGAGGCAGAAACTCTGAGACCACTATTGAGAGGTGTCGTTCTATAAGGTGCCGGAGGGGGGCCAGATTTGGTCCTTCAAAGAGGGGTCTTATTTAGAACGGGTAGCTGATTGAGTACCCTCTGTGATAAAATTTGGCAGTGAAGAGACAGGTGGTAATAGAGCACTCTTAGAGATAAATAGCTGATAAAGATACTGTAGTCCAAAGAAATCTTTTTATGGGACTAAGGTGCTGTTTACACGAGGACGCTGCGACAGTAAAACGTTGGAGTTGGGTATCAGATTGGCCTTTTGTTTACATGAAGAGGGTCTTTCACTTCTTTGCGGGACCTGAGGAGGATGTTGTTGAGGAAGTGCTTATACTGTTGGGGGTTGCTGTGTCGTGTTGTAACGTTCCACTGCCCACTACTGGCAGGGCGCTAGAACTACATTGTTTTCTGTTGTTGTGTAGATGCTGTGCACTTCGAGTAAGGTGCCTGGTCGTTTTTTCAAATTGCTTTGCAGCGTCTCCGTCCAAACGGCGGGGCCTTACTTTCACATGGTCTGAGGGTTCCCAGGGGTACTGGGAGATGTTGGTCTGTAGTCCCTGGTCCTTCTAAATTACTTTTCTTGTCTTTAATTAAAGTCTTGATAAGGTTCTCTTGGCTGGCCTGAATGATGGTTGAAAACTTGCGTCAAGGAAGCCCCCTCACTCACTGACATTACCTGTTTGAAAGTGGCCACAACAAAAACAAGATGAAAAAATTCAAATAAATTGGGAGAGTGACACGTTATCTCCACTGATGCTTTGTGTCTATTTATAGTATTTTTATTTTCTTGTTTTGCAATAAAAAGGAAAACAGTACTCTCAGGTGGTGAGTCCATAAAAAGCTTACATAGTGCCTTGAACATCAACACATCTGGATCAACTAATGTGTGTGGGTCAAGCCAGATCCATTAAAATTGCAGAAAAAACACATTTTGCACAAAAACTATTATTTTTGGGTAATATCTGTATTTTTTCATTCAGAGAAGGACATCTACAATACATCTATGACAGAATTATTACAATACCTATATTACAAAATAATAATTATGAAAACAAAAATAAAGTGGTAACAAAATGCAGATGGCTGGAAATTGCATTATCAAAACTCAGGTAAGTCAATGACATTTTCTGCAATATTCTGTCTCGTTAGACCTCAAAGCTTCCACCAGTAAAACAAGTGTGGCCCCAGGGGCCAACGAGTGCACAGGTCATCACAAGAAGGCCTCGTCTCAATCCTCCTCATCCAGAGCCATGGACTTGCCCCTCCTCCTCCTGCTGTGCCTGGACTTGTCATGCAGTGCGTACATGTAGGTGTGCTGAGTGACATGGCCGGGCTGTTTTTGGACATGTTTACATGAGGGAACATCTGGATAAAGCCTGAGGTCACAGAGGCTGCTCACTTTACCACTCGCCCATAAATGGCCTTTCCCACGACCGACAGTTTAGTCTGCCGCTGTGACCTTGGGATGTGATGGAAAAACACTCCCTGGAATATGTTGAGGTTTGTCTGACTTTGTTTACGGCTTCAAACAAGTCAAGTTGTCCATGTTGTCAGTCTGTTCCTGAGACCTACCAGCTTGACAGGAGCTGTACATTTCAAAGAACAATTTCTGAGACGCTTGATTGGTTGCACATGGAATTATATTTTCTTATAGAGCTGCAAAGTGCACAGAGCTTAAGATTTCAGGAAGTAAAACTCCCAAAGTAATTTATAAAAATAAAAATAATTCTTGTTGATTTATGGAGAGAGTGATGATCCTGGACATTTATGTACTGTGGTCATCCCACGCCACACTGACCAATGGGTGATATCTATTATTGCAGTTCCTGTTTTTGAACGGTTTGATTCTCTGATCTGTTGTTGGTGAATCAAATGCTGTAGTGATTTAGGGCTAAACAAAGAGTGAATTGAATAAAAGTTGAAAAAGTGTTTTGGGGATGATCCTCCATCTAGTGAGACCAAAAGATCTAAACTGATATATAAGCAATTAAGTTAATACTAATAACAAATGTTTATAATTTAAAACTGCAACATTTTCCTTTTTCTTACAACTCTGTTGTGTCTTCAAACTCTTGATATTTGGAATTTTCCAAACTCCTGGGGATTTGAAATGATGACTTCTACTTCTGGAAACCTTTAGCTCTGCCCACTTTGTAGCTTCATAGGAAGATCCATATTTTTATAGATAAATTTTTACTTTCACACAAGCTCCATCCAGAATTATGACATTTCGTAAAAGCCTTATTCCGTTAGAGTGAGGCAAAAACAAAGCATTAATAATAATAACCACCGCTCAAATACAGAACACAGACAACACAATTACCAGTTTTGTATTTTTCCACATCTGTTTTTTATTGTTTACATTGTTCAATAGAGAGAATAGATAAGCATGAGAATTCTGTATTAAAATGGGTGGGAGAAAAACAAGTAGATTAGCTGGGCTTATTAAATCACAGCTTAACCTCGACGAGAACAACACCGCTGCACACTGAAAGTTTTCCATTGACACAAAAGCACAGAGAGTATACACGGGTGCGGTCGATGTTACCTCGTCTCTACGTCTCACAACTCAACTTCCGAGAGTATATTTTTCTTTTTATTGTAAGTGTATTGGCACGTTTTAAGAACATCAAAATCATTCTATTTTCCTCTGCTGTTAATGATGGTATTACTAAGAGATACAATCAGTAGGCCTATGTACTCCTTCTAGTCATATACCATTGATAAAGAGTAACAATCAGTTCAACATATATATTCAAAATAAACCTTAAATATGAGTAAATTGTCATACAAGTCGGTAATAACCACGCATGGTCCAGAGAAATATTTGGCACAATCTTGACTAAATGCAATGTAAATAAATATCCAACATACAATACAACCAAATACGAATAGGATTTTAAATAATGTGCAGAACAATACTTTAACTTTAACCATGCACGATGTAAGGCAACCTACTGCAGTTTCTGGATATAGAAAATATACAATGTGTCCCCACAGGAGTGCACCTATGTCTACAATACTGTTTGCCAGCTCAAGGCTTAAAAACGGTCACTCCATGTGGACAGACAGGCTGGAAAGACTGTGTGTGTTTCTGCTTGTGTTGCCCAGTCATCAGTGATTTCTCAAGACAAGTTTGCGTCTAATGCTACACGACAGCCTTAAACAGGAAAATAGATGTATCAAATTCCAGATTTGATCTCTTCAAACTATGATCTACTATTTTGATGTAATTGTACATTCACACAGTTTTGCAGTTATTTGTAAGAAACCCTACACTTATTCTAGATGTGTGTTTGTGTGTATGCAGCATGTTTTAATTCTAGTTGACTTGGTTTGTTTGCTTACAAATCCTTTGTTTTAATGAGAGTAACCAAAGGCTTATCTTCAGGACTGTAGTCTTCATAAGCAATGGGGGTGGCTTCATACATGGCGGGCCGGGACTTCTTTCCAAATCTAAAAACAAATACAAGAAAATAGTATTTTAAATCAGTCATTATATTTAGATTAAAAAAAGTAAAAATGAGAACTGTTGCCATAGTGATTAAAATATATAATATATTTTGAAAAGAATAATGATCATCAAAATACTGCAAAACCCAATATTCCTTTGAATTAATATCTGCTTAAAACAGGGTTTTTGTTTGTAATTTATCCATGTGACTGGGTAGAGGGATCCCCCTTTCTAAATCTCAGTGTAACATGTGTACTTTTCAACAGGACAGTACTTCTCAAAGTGGGTCCAGGGCCCCCTGGGGGGCTTCAGAGCCACTGCAGGGGGCCCAAAGATTAGAAATCAAAACGAGTCTGCAAGTATTTGATACTCTGATATTCACTGCTTTGTAGAGTTTGACCCATGTTTGTTTATGTGTTTTGGCCAGAATTTAAAAGGAAAACCATCATATTTTCTTGAATATAAAGTTCTTTTAACAGTGGTGAGGAAGTTTTCTTAATACAGTGGCAATCGATAAGAACCGTGCTAAAACATTTCTGCTAATGCTTGGTGGAGATTTGCAAACCACAAAAGAGCAGTAACCTTGAACTTGTGTGTTTTACTGTAAACTACAGTGTGTATGTTCACATGTTCCACAGCCAAAAGCTTTCCTGGTGGAGGGCCTTTTCTTTGCTCTGCCCTGAATGTTACTGTTTGGCATGAGATATGAAATGTTCCACAGTTTGACATTGGACCCATCTACGTCAGAAGCAGGAATCTGACATCACTGGGCTGCCATACTCAACGTAAGAACTCAGGAAAACCATGTGTAATTAAATCATAGGGTCCTTCCAATAAAAGCAATGACGTATCCATGGCAACAAGTGGGATATTTTCCGATGCACTGCCCACCACTATCCCACCGAACAGAAGAAGTTTAAAAACACTCGTCACATTCTTGTGTGGCGGTTACCGGGCGTGGCGGATGGAGGCGATGGCGTTGCTGAACTCGCTGTCGATGCTGCGGCAGTTGTAGAACTCGTGGTAGGCGTGGCGGGACGAGCCCTGGTACTCGATGCGGCTGATGCGGCAGATGCCCACGATGAGGATGATGAGCATGAGGACGAAGGCCACGCACAGAGCCCCGATGATGATGTAGAGCGAGTGACGAGGCATGTTGGTGAGCGCGTCGTCAGGGTGCGCCGGCTTCCACTGCAGGTCTGAGGACACACGCAGGCTTTCACACACACTGGGACTTAAAGCTCGGGTACACAACTTTTCTCCGTCATAAATATCACATGTTTGTCCTAACAGAAAGAGTCTAGTGACAGTAAAATGTTGTGAACAAATCAAAACTGGTTTCAACTCATTCGAAAATATGATCACGTTAGTTTTTGACCCTTTGGGCTGCGAGCTGATTGGCCGAGAGAGTGTGGTGCTTTCAGTTCACTTTTCTGTCTGAATATGACCAATAAATATACATGTACGGGAAAACTAGGATTTTATGAAACATAGTAAAAAAATTGTTTTTAAAATGGAGTATCCCAGCTTTAAATAAGTCTTCCTCCTTGAATAAGAATGTTCTATCTGACAAATTTGTTCTTTTAAAGTGATTGTCTGGAGTTTGTCAAAAAGAGAGAAAGAGGTACTTGATTTGAAAAAAACGATGCAAGCTCCTCCCCCTTCCTTTCTGATTGGTCTACGCCTACGTTTCCGTAACACTTTTAAATGTTAACCAGAGAACATTTTATACATATACATTATTAATACACATGCACGAAGGATTTCAGAATTATTTGTTAAAGTTTTGATGAAAAAGATATTGTTTTTATGCACAAAAAAAGTGATCGCGGAAAACCCGGAACAAGCTATTATCATGAATTGCACATTATAGGACACATCTGCAGAGGATCTGATTATGGATATAGGTTCAGTATATAAATGATTATGGATATAGGTTCAGTATATAAATGATTATGGATATAGGTTCAGTATATAAATGATTATGGATATAGGTTCAGTATATAAATGATTATGGATATAGGTTCAGTATATAAATGATTATGGATATAGGTTCAGTATATAAATGATTATGGATATAGGGTCAGTATATAAATGATTATGGATATAGGGTCAGTATATAAATGATTATGGATATAGGTTCAGTATATAATGTAGGCTTGATTCGGAGGTTCCGCGAAAACAAACAACTGAGCATGCGCGGAGCTACGAGCATCAGCGCCGATGATTGACAGCCCTTGGCATGACTCGATTGGTTAACGTGGACGGCACCGTGGATTCTGAGCTATAACTTTACGGGAAGGTGGGACTTGCCCGTAATATTAGAATTAATAAAATGACTTATTTTATATCAACATTCAAGGCCAGGAGGTCAATTTAACACATTTCTTAAAATTTAGAGTTACAGAGTATTACTTTAAACAATAAGATATAATTGACTAAACATGAACAAAGAAAATCTACATTTACGTCTTGCTTAAATTAAATATCATGTTTTTTGATAAATCTGCATAAAGTACATATGACTGATTATTTATGTTTTCATATAAATTATAGCATTACACTACTTCAGTAAAATCTGTATTACAGGAAGCAGAGCAGAGATTTTGTGCAGCTACTCTATTCTAAAGTTTGGCACAATTTAACATTTCAAAAACTTCTGTGCCTTTTGTTATGAAGGAGCTGAATAAATCATAGCCCCACATAATGTTGCCTGGTAACTGCTTGTTCCTGCTGTTGTGTCTGCACGAGCTTTCATGAGTTGCATGCCAATTTAAAGCTAATTTATTTATCAAGATTATTCTTTTAATCATAATCTTTGAGCTTGTCTTTTAAAGCTCTGTCATCACTACACTCAATAAAGTAATTCTATTTTCAGTCTATTCACTCACTGTTCAATAACAAACCCTTTTTATGACACTTCTGAGTATATTTTAGAAAAGAACCGCCCTCTCCACTTTTTGAACAAAACTCTCTGGTCTTATTGGACAAGCACGTACCGCCAGAATGATTGACAACTCGGAGGACCAATAGTCTTGCTGATCCACCCGGGAGTAGAAAATCCTCCTATACCTTTAAGTTTGTCAAATCGGATTTTTTGAGAGCAGCCAGTTTTGTCCAATTATACAGCATGGTTGCAAAACGTTCCTAGCTTGATACTCATTCTGAATGAAATGCTTGTCGTAAAATACTAATAACATTTATAAGCAAAATCTTGACTATGAAGATGTTAATTCTGTTTTAGTGAAAAGCAGGGACACATTTAAAAACATGTGATTGTAGTTTAACACATTCTTGTTGTTATTGTTGTGTCAGAAGATGCAGGCACAGACGCTCACTGCAGGGGGACTTACGGATCTCACAGCTGGGCCCCACCCACCCGGGCGGACAGTGGCAGCTGAAGCCGTTTGATTGGTCCACGCAGGAGCCGCCGTGGTGACAGGGGTTACTCTCGCACTCATTGATGTCGATCTCACACTTCTCGCCTGATTAGAGACGGAGTTAGACACAAAAAGGCATGACATTGAAATAAAGGGATCATTAGGAAAGACACATTGCCTCTTTCCAGGGACTACAGGTGAACATTGGCAAGTTGCAAGTCGTCTGCATAACACATTTGTTACATCCATTGGAAAATTACTTCAGGAATGTAGTGGAAATGTCCCCACGCTGAAAACATTTGACATTAGAACTATTTTTTTTAATGTCTGATACCAATCTCAACAGTGTGGCTTTCATTATCTGCCAATACTCATTATAAACCGACACCAGAGAAGAGCCTGGAAAAATCAAAACTCAAATCACAGTAAAAATGCAAAAATACGTATGTCCAATCGTGTCCAATTATCCAGCAAGTAAAGAACAGGTTTGTTTGAGTAAAAGTTCAAGCTTAAACAGTTAATTATTCTGGATTAACGGTGATGTCAGCGACTTGATTTCTAAAATGTTGTCTATTTCTGTGTTTCTGAGACACAGTATAAAGTTAGGTTACTGTAAGTTTAGTTTTATTTATACAGCGCCTTTCACAGACCAGAGTCACAAAGCACTATACAATTGTTGTGTGCTGTATTAATATAAGTATGTATTCTCCTACAATAATAGATTTAATTTAGTCCTTCATCTTGGCATAACTGCAACCAGTAAGATTTTCTGGATGAGAACAGTTTGTGTATTAATGAAGAGTATTGTATTGTAGCTTTGGGCAAACTTCCATCTGTAGTCCCACAGTAGTACTCACAAACACACACTTCATTCATTCACCCTGAAATACTGTAAATGTTTTTAGTGGTATGGGGGAAACCGGAGGACCCAGAACAAAATTACAACGACACAGGGAGAACATGCAAACTCCACACAGAAAGAAAGGCCCTGTCTGGAGGTGGTCACTCCAGACAGGGCCTTTCTTTCTGTGTGGAGTTTGCATGTTTAATCAAACCCTCATATACTTCAGATATCAAAGTAATCTTAAATTGATACAATTTTAAATAAATATTACTTGTTTATTGTTAGTTTATTTAAAGCTTGGCTATACCACTCAGGGCTTTCTTTGAATTGAGTTGTCTGTTCAAGTAAGCCGCACTTTTGATATATTGAACATGTAGAGTGTTGAAAATGTCAGATATCTTCACAACAGGGCGGAACGGAGGCTGAGTGGGTAGAGCCTTCGCTTCTCCGCAAGAAGGTTCTGAGTTCAAATCCTTGTCGGAAAACAGGGCCTTTCTGATATATATATAACTTGAAATCACAGTCAAACTTTATTGCAATCAATTGGGTTTTGAAAATAATCTACACATGGAGTTCACTTGGCAAGATCAAGGTAAGAATGTACTCGAGGAATTCAAGTGAAGTTAATGTGCAATTTATTTCCAAGGTTTTTTCAAGTACACTTTATTTGTCAGGGTTTACGGTGGTACTTACACATTGATATTAAAATTTCTGTTTTAACTTTCAGAGTCTTAAATGGTCAGGCTCCATCTTACATCTCGGACTTCTTGACCCCATACTGTTCTGGCCGCACTCTTAGGTCCACAGGCCAGAATTTACTTGCAATCCCAAAGACCCGCTATAAGACCCGGGGGGACCGGTCTTTCCAGTCCGTGGCCCCCAGACTGTGGACCGCTTTGCCTCTGTCCCTCCGTGTGGTCAACTCTGCCGATGCTTTTAAAAAGGGATTAAAGACGCTTCTTTTTAGGGCAGCTTTTAGTTATTTTCTTGTTTTCATGTTGTTATTTTCAATGGTTTCTTATTTCTATTGTATATACATATCTGCTTATACCTTGTACAGCACTTTAGTAATTTTTATCTGTGAAAGGTGCTCTGTGAATAAAATTTACTAACTAACTTACTTACTTACTGTATTGATAAATCCCTTAATGTGAATCCATGAGCTGTATTCAAAGCTGCACTCACCATGGAACCCTGGCGCACAGATGCATGAGGCGTTGAGCCCTGTGCTCTCGCAGCGGCCACTGTTCTGACAGCGCATCCTCAGACAGGGGTCTTTGTAGATCTCACAGTGTCTGCCTGTATCGAGTGCGAGAGAAATCAGGCTCACGATGGAGAGCTCTGCCGAAAATAAATGAGGAATTGTTGCAGCGAGTACCTTCAAACTGAGAGGTGCAGACGCATTCGTAAGCGTTGATGAGGTCTCTGCAGGTGGCGTAGTTCTGGCAGGGCGCAGACAGACACTCGTTGTACTCTTCCTCACAGTACAGGCCGTGGTAACCTGCACATACACAACAGAAACACATGTACATATTCAACAAATTATGACAGTGTATTCATCCCATTCACTGTCACTGTGTTCAGGAATACAGGTGGCAATGTTTGAAGCAGCTTTCCCGGGGTTGATGGGTGAAAACTAAACCAGAAATAGTAAGTTTGAAGAAGCATGGTGGTAGCAGGAATGTCTTTTTTCATCAGGAATAATGTTAAAATCAAATCACAACAAGCTGTATTTATCTTATAAAACATTTGATCTTTTACATACTGAGAGCTGATTGGCTGAGTGCTCTCTCTTTCACTGAAAAATCTAATCTAAAAATCTAATCTAAAGGCCAAACATACATGCACAGAACTCTTTGGAGAGCAAGGAATTAGTTGGATAGATTTTATTTCATATTTTCACATTGCCAAGAATGAGTCTGGTGTGTGTGTGAATGGCTAGTGGTGGTCGGGGTGTGCCCTAGGGCAGCTGTGGCTACAATAGTAGTTTATCACCACCGTGTGTGGTGTGAACGAATAATGACAGTGTCCAAAAAAGCACTATATAAAATTAATGCATTATTTTTATTTTTTGCCATTTTTTGTTGTTGGTTTCAAAGTTAGGAACTTCAGCTTTAACCATCTTTGAACGAGATGGATAGATATATACTTTATTGATCCCCTGTAGGAGAATTCCAGGAGTCCAGCAGCAGAAACACATCAATCCAAACAAAGATCAATAAATACATGATTCTAAAAGTTTCAAACAATATGGGGAATTTTCTTCATGTTTCTTTAATAGTACAGCCAAAATACTTTGATTTAAAACATCCATCTGTATTCAATCTATTTATTTTACAGTTCAGCAACAAACAAAAAGATTTAATTTGAAATATGTAGTAAATTGTGGTCAAATGAATTCTCACTGGGATTAAAAAAAACATATCCAACTGTACTTGAAAAAAAAAAAAATGCAGTTAACATGAAATTAAACATTATTTTCTCACTCCTCTTTTGTATTTGCAGTGTAACCAGTGCGGCTGTAATGCAGTGCTGTGTGTTTCCATAGGATGGCAGCTGTGTACTGATGCAGACACTGGCTCCTGGAGCGACCAAGTGGAGCCGGAACACCAGACAGTGAATTATCGTCTGTTACTTTTCTGTTAAACAAAAAGAGTAAACAACATGACCTGAATCTGTCACACACGACTTCTGCAAGAAGATAAAGCCGCAGGAACATTCTGTTTTAGAATTGGCAAGGATATACTGTATGTACTGTGTGTGCATGGCTTTTTGTGATTTCAGACTTGTGTTATAAAGTGGGATTATTGGTAAATCCAGAATTGGGCTCAGAGACACTTAGAACATTGGAATGGCTCTATTTTGTAAAATCATCAAGTTTCTAGTCTATAATTAAATATAGAATTCCTGGTACAAAAACTATTGCATACAAAAGTTAGATGTAAAGCAATCCTATAGCTGCAAAAATATGTGTCTTAGAAAGTCTTGTCAATGTTCATGAAATTAACATTGAAAGCCATTTTTATTTGTTTTTGTGCATTATGCCAGGCATGTCCAAACAGATGTTATGTAGCCCTCTGCAACAAGTACAAGTGTCACAGTGTCATCCAACCAACTTCAGCTCCTCCGAAATAGGCGTGCTGTACATTGTAGAGCTCAGAATCTCTGGAATCAAATTGTCTGTGTATAGTGACATTTGTTTTTGTGTCACAAAATTCTATCCATGGCACTAATGCAGCTGAAGATAAAGTAAACTTATGTCATTCAGTCAACTTCAGCTCAGTCACAATCTGCATTGTTGGCCCAGGGGACATTTCTGGTGTACTAGAGTGGCCCTCTGACTAAAACATTTGGGCCTCCCTGCACTATACAATTGACTCATTAGGGGGAAAAAGTGGCCAACCATTGGCCTACGATAAACCAACTGTCTTTCCTATTATATTATAGCTTTATATACTTTGGCACAAGAGAAAGTCAGCATGATGTACATGCAGTAAATATACCACTTTATTGGAATGAGAATGTTATTAGTCAGGCAGCGAGCCAATAAAACATCAAATGAATGATTGTGGACCACAGAAGGTTTGGGACAATAAATATCTCAAGTGACAATAATCAGCTGTGACAAACTGTATTAAACTGTTTTTGTGCATGCACTGCAGTTTGATGCCTAGACCCATGCCAATTTTCTCCGTAATTTGAAACGTCTTTACAACTCAGCCTGTAACTGACTGAAGAGGCAAGTAATGTGTTCTTAAGAGCACTTCATATAAGGAGTCCATATAAGGAGACAGATGTGAGTTTCTTAGACCTCTGTCAAAAGCAAACACTAGTCAGCATGGTGCCAGCTGGAAAGAGTGAGCCAACTTTGGCTTTCTAACCGGACCCTCTCCTCTCCTCAAATGTGCCGCCTTGTCAATATTGAGTGAATGTGACCAAGATCCAAGTCTGTCTCCTGAGGCTTTTGACGAGTGAAGCTGCTTCCAACAGCTTCACTCCCACTTGGAGCCACTAAAGTCCCCAGCGTGATGCCAGCACTGACAAACCTTCTACAAATCCTTCCCTGGACCGTGGCGTGCGTGTGTTTGATGAGAATACTGGGGAATAAATGAAGATCCCGGTTGCAGCCTCTGGGGGCCGCCTCGGTGAAATGCCATTTGAAATGTCAAGTGCCTTTCCGATAGACAGTGGGGCTGGCAACCTCTCATGTACGTCGGATTACAGTCGGCTGGAGGACCAATCCTTCTCAGTATCACACGAGCTTTGGAAGCAGGCTACTGGGCCAACTTAAAAGTCTGAGACAGGGTATTGTGCAGCATAAGGTCAAATCCATTCATTGTTTGTCCAATTACCAATGTTTTCACTTGGTTTACTCTGTTTGTGACCTGTCATTGTGGGTGAAATGCTGGAGGAATGATATAAGAGGTCGCGATGTGCGCTCCAAGATGCAACCAAAGGTCGTGCCTTTGGCACGACCTTTGCCAATTAATCCGATCACTCCAACCACAATTACTCATTTGTGTCTTACACTTTAATTGTAAATGTATTTGTGGCAACACCTAATCATACTCAGTAGCTAAGAGGGGCTGGTTTGCTACAGCTAGCGAAGAACAGTTGCTGTGTCCTTTGACATGACATTTCACCCACGTTGCTTAGTATGAACTAACCCTAAACTAACCATAGACTGTATATATTAACGGAGAGAGTCACGCCGTGCATAGGAGTTGGCCATGAAAAGTGCTTTCATGGAGCAATCCAAGATGGCCGCGAGTGGTCCCGCCCACAAGAAAATTGTGAAAAAACGCATCTGCGCATGCGTCAGCCGGCGCAGCTCCATTCATTGGAACGAGAGACTTCAAAAATTCACCGAGAGTAAACTAGAGAGGACCAAAAAAATTCACCCCCCTCAGCATTGACACACATGTGGGACGGAGCTTTGGGCCAAGAGCCAACTTTTGGTCCATCCTGTAAAGACGTTTTTGAGAGGTCTGCCAACGATATATGTTAGCATTGGCTAATTCTTCTTCTGGTCCACCCCCATCGGCCCAGGGTGGTAGCAAGCATGTCAGCGCACGTCATTTTGGCCACTTTTGAGCTGGGACCCGCCCCCACTGAAACTAACCTAAAAACAATGAAATCAATGATGGTGCAGATTGGCATCCTCGGCTCAAGATGCCTGTCCATTGGCCTGTGCTCATTGGTGCATGCTCAAAGTTGGCCACTAACTGCTAGCCCCAAACCAGCATTTCGACTGCATCCATGCCTAAAACACATGTGTAATAGAGAAACCTAAACATAATCCGACCCTTCCTCATGTCCATAATGCTTTGTGCCATCAGAGCGGCTGACATTGTTTGATGCACAAAAGCTTTTGTTTATAGAAAATTTAACTAAACATTAGAAACATTAGGTGCCCTATAAGGAGAGTATGAGCTGTTTCAGTTCACATTCAGGTCCTTGGTAAAAAAAGAAAAGAAAAAATTCAGCCCATGTTAATTTTGCCCTACGAGAATGTCTAATAATATCTTATCCAGATATTATAAACATCCATGGCCCACACACAGTATAAATCCTTGGGTTTCTTTTTTCTTTTGAAAAACGCACACAATTGATTCTTATAAGTCCCTATGGATGGCAAACATTATACCTCAGAAGGACAACACAAGTTTTTGTTTTCAATTGTTTATGACCAATCGATCCCAGAAACAATCACACAAACAATCAAGACTTTAAGCCATTCTTTCAGTCACCAGCTCACGTTTTGAACATCTACAGAACATTGTAGTCTTTGGGCTTGAAAACTTGAATATTTACTGGATTGCCTGAGAGGAATTAGTAGACAGCTCCATAGATCCAGATGGGCTTTTCTCATGAGCATGTGTGCGTGTTGGGATAGAGCAGACTCCTCAGACCGACACTGCATTCTGATGAGCAGCAGAAAAGGTCAGATTTTCAGAGTCGAACCACAGCAGCGTGCAGAGGAGCTATTGTGTGTGTGTGTGTGTGTCTGTGTGTGTGTCTGTGTGTGTCTTCATTTATTACTTCTTTGTTGCTAATTGCACATCTCCAATATTTGGCGCTCCCATTAGACAGGGCTGTCCGTGTGGAGTCATTGGATTGGAGGAGAGCATCTGCCCAAGCAGCAAAGTCAGAGCAGAGAATTGATTAAAGCTGCATGCACACACACATCGGGCAATTGCCTCGCCATGGCAACCAGACAACACACATGGAGTTGGGAATGAGGTGAGCGTAAACAGCAGCGTGATGAAGACGCAGAAGGACAAAGGGACAGGCCAGGATAAGAATATGATATCGAAATACACAACTGGATCTACCGGGCAAATATTTAAATGACATAAACAATGTAAAATTCATATAATTTCATTTATGCTGATGGAACAAAGGAGTGGAAACCAAAACACAGCCCTATCTCAGAGGTGCGATAGTCTTTGTTATATTTGAATATGCAGCGTGAGGGACACGCTTAGGACAATATGTTCAACAGCTGTGATGTAGGCGTTCTCTCCTCATCTACTTTCATAGATTTTCAATGTGAGAAAATATGCTGATTCAAGCTAACACAGAGGTCAGAGCCATCGGTTAGAATATGCTCAGTATTGGCAGATCTAGAGTGGCAGTGTGTGTGAGTGTGTACAGCAGCAGCAGCAGTGGCAAGTTGTGTTTATGGTCTGTGGGGAAGCCATCTATCGGGCTCTGCAGAAGGAACATGCATAATGATAAGACATTACTTCTGTGCATCGCCATGTACAGCGCCATCACCCAGTGCAAGAAATCACATCTTTTATTTATTCAGTGTTCTCAGATGTGAGACTCGGGATTTGGCACTGACTGTGATCTTGAAGAACATTGAGCTTATTCAGCTAAAGTCAAGTTCAGATGAGAAGGTTGACAACAAAAAGAAAAATACTGGAGATGGATAGAAAATGTAGACCTTGATTCTTTATTAAGTTTGGAGTGTCTCGTTTTTTCCATAAATAGCACATGTTAAAGTCTTGTTAAAGCAAAATTATGTATTTATAATTTTTCATTGTTTTAATTAGTTGGGACAATGCATGCTAATGACACACCTCCACAGCCACAAACATATACACTTATTCACCCTGAACTATTATACATGTTTATGGAAAGGCCCTGTTGGGAATCGAACTCAGGAAATCCTTGATGTGAAGCACAAGCGCTAACCACTGCACCACTGAATACTGAGCCCATCTTGCTGTTTTCATCTTATAGAAAACATTTAAAGGTCATCTTTTCCATACTTTGCTCTGTGAATCACTATTTGTCTCTTTGGGCTGAAAGCTGTTTGGCTGTGTGCGGCACGGTGGCTGAGTGGATAGCACTCTCGCCTCTCAGCAAGAAGGTCCTGGGTTCAAATCCCGGCCGGACCAGGGCCTTTCTGAGTGGAGTTTGCATGTTCTCCCCGTGTCTGCGTAGGTTTCCTCCGGGTGCTCCGGTTTCCCCTACCACTAAAATATGTCCAATAGTTCTAGCATGCGCCTCCTGTACTGGCCCCGCTCCCATCTCTGTGTGGAGTGAGAGACAAATGCCCAAAATTAACAATTGTAAACCGCTTTGAGACTCAGATCTGCAGTGAAAAGGCGGTATATAAATAAAAACTTACTTACTTACTTACTGTGTGAGGGTGGTCCTTTTCTGTTTCACTTTTCTGATCTAACGATGTGACAGAACCCAAACACACATGCTACTATTTACAAGTATTTTATACCATAGTTCAACTGTTTGTGTTGTTGTGTTTGAAAGTGAGGAACCCCTTACAATCCCCTGGTCGTACCTGAGGTCGTTGCCAAACGTGGTTAAAATTTGTCAAGTAGGTGAATACAGTATATTCTATCACTCCAAGTAGCAGAAGTGATGAGTGAGATTGGAGCTGGAGTCGTACCTGGGATGCAGAGGCACCTGTAGCTGTTGCCCACACTGCGGCAGACCCCATGGGCACAGGGGTTGAGGGCGCAGAAGTCCACCAGCTGAGCACACGTGGGCCCCGTGAAGCCTGCGGGACAGCTGCAGCCAAAGCCAAGCGGGCCAGGCCCCTGGGGGTAACATGTCCCGTTGTTGTGACACGGACTGGAGGCACAGGGGTCCACCTTCTGCTCGCATGTGGGGCCCTGGTACCCTGGACAACAAACAAGGGGATGGGGAAAGTTCAGCAGCTTTGATAAATAGTGAGAGGATGCAGTGTAGGGTTAGGCATGGTTTAGAGTTCATTTATGGACGCTTGTGAAAACGTGGTCATTGGTTAACCCGTTATCGTATGGGCCGTTATCCTACTTCTCTGTGTTCCAATTGTTTAGTTTTCAACTGTTGAAGACTGGCGCATTGACAATTCTGTGATGCCCATTGAGAAACCTGCTGTTATAATTTTGGGCTCTCCAAAAATAAGGCATTCAAATTGAATTGAATCCCTTAAATTAGTAAGTAACATTAGAATTAAAAAGAATTTACTCATACAGTCTTTTCACACTTAAACCCAAGCCAAAAGCACGCCAATATTTTATTTTTAAAAGTTTGGGCACTAGTTTTTTACACAAGTGGGATGATGTGAAAATTTCACAGCTTACCTAACTAAAATGCGATTTCAAGGTGAGTGACTTTTTAATCAATTTTCAAAGCAGACACACTCAGTGATTGGCACAAGATGGACTTTCTAAGTGCTTTCACAGAGCGTGCTTTTCTTGCGCACCTCTTCTCATTAGCTTGTGCACCTCAGCATCTCGAACCTCACCGGCACTAAAAATAGCTTCCCATCTCCCTCCACTGTCTTCACTCCCTCCCCTGAGAATCCTATTGTACGGCAAACTGCTAAAGGGAGAAAAGAAACTCTCCATATTCAGCATTCGGGCACACAGCGTAACTCTGGTGTGATGAATTGCGGCAGGGTCGTGCTAACATCATTTACTGTAACATCTCGCTCAAATCCCAGCGCTGACTGCACCCAACCAGAGCAGTCCATTGGGCTAATGAAGAGATCCCTCACAAAGCATTGATCAACAGGACTTTATTTCACAGCGTAGGCAGAGCATTCATCATTCAGGCGCTCACGGACAAGTCGTATCTGCAGTTGTCAAGGGAAACGCTCCCACATAAGTCCAGAGACTTCACCAAACAAGAGGCGGGACATGCAGAACTTTTGGATTCTGTGAAGGAGACAAATTGTGCTATTGATGGCTTCATTATTATAATATGACACATGAGAGTCTTCATTAAAGCTGGGACACCTATGTTCACATACATAAGATGTTTGTTCCAAAAGAAAACACTATATTTGTCAAAGTAAAAAGAATAGTGAACAAAATAGACCACAATACACCATCCCCCCCCCCCATTTTAGAAAACAATGTATCCTTTGCATACGTGTAAGAAAGAGCCCCGTGAGTCACTATTTGACCATTTGGGTTGCTGGCTGTTTGAGGGTGGCTCTCTCATTTTTACTTTTTTAGTCTGAAACAGTTAATCTCAAAATGTGGCAGAAGCCAAACATATTTGTGATAGAACCCAATTGTTTTGAGAGCGTGGAATGAGTTAGATTATATTTTATATCTTTTTTAGTTTGGAAAATAAGTTATTATCATTTGGATCAATCAAAATGAGTGACAAATATCACAATTGGTACAAAATGCAGTTGCGAGACACATGATGCCTACAAGGTATGAGCACATCACCCCTGCTCTGTTTTGTATTGATTTTAACCTTTAAATTCCTTTAACATTTAAAAGCTGTTGCACCGATTTGTCCCTTCTCGAGGACCACTGTTGTTCCTGCCCAGGTCTCACAGTGTAAATCCGGTTTTCTATGAGCTCAGTCAAAACTCAGGATTTGTTTATTTGTCTCCGCCTCAAGAGAAATTGGTTTCGGACAGATTTATGGCTCTGCTACTTTTTCAATACAACATGAAACTCAGAAAACACCAACGAGATGAGCCAAACCTTTCAGCACAAACACACACATACACCTTGTTTCTTCTCCTTATTGAGCAGATTCTTTGAAACAGGTGTGAATATGTTCTTATATGGATTGAGCAGTGAACCCAGTCATGTGGAAGACACTGACCCTGGAACTGCATCAAACGAGGAACGTCAATATTTTCACATAGTTGCTAAAGACGTAGTTTTATACACTAAGGCTTTTGGATAAGCAGCAACTATGGTTTTTTCCTCTTGAAATGTCATCAGGACTAAGAGCCAGACATGCTGCCAACATGAAGCAGATCAGGAAGCAGTATAATTTTTGTTTTTTCATTCAAGCCAACAAAACCTGCATAAAGAATCATCCGTGTCTCACAGAGAAATGTGGTGGGTGTATCCTGATGGCAATAAAAACTGAGACTTAGTATTCTTGGATGCAGGAGAATATAAAACACAAATCCATCCATCAGAATATCTCAACAAAAATGGATCCCCTTTGTGGCTCTTGATATCACATTTAAATCATTTTAAGGCTGCGCAAGTAATCACAAAGAAATGCAACGGCAATATGTCCCCTGTATCCATGAAAAGCCTATTATAGTGGTTCAAACAAAGTTGCATGGGATTCTCATAATTCTTCAACAATCTTCTTTATTATTGCTGTTGAGATGTTTCCAGTGTGTAATATCAAATTAAATAAATTAGAAAATGCAAATTAATATGTTTATATTTTTTGAACTACTATAAAACGAGCACCAGAGGTTTTTCCCCTAAAACCCTTGAGTTTGACATGTTGAGTTCAAAAGGCTATAACTAAAATGTGATAAGAGATAGAGGCTTTCTGTAAATTAGAGAAATATTACAGATGGCCCAAAGTTTAAATTGACCCGTCTAATTTGCATATTTTGATATCATACGGCGGTGGCAACCAAGGATTTTAGAATGTTCATGAAATGTGTTTGCTTTCACTGACAGACGTGCAACTCACTAGGACTTGAACACACAAACAGAACTCACGGGGAAATAGTAAAACAGTGCAAATCATCACTGCCCCTGCTGTGAGAAGCCTGCCCAGAGCTGTTTGCCACAATCTGCCATTTTAAACAGTACCGCATCTTGTCGACTTCAGTCAACCGTGGCGCCTAGAGGGTTAAACTGGAATTGTGCTGTTTTCTTTACAATTTGCAGATGTTTATTCCTAATTTTCTCACAAATGTAACACAAATAGTAAATGTGCAAATAAAGAATTGAGAGCTTTGAAAACATATCTGCACTGAGAGCACAAAAAAGTTGCAAACATGCTCTTTAATAAATCTGCGGGTAAAATATATGACAAGGATGAGCGACGTGCTGTTGCTTCATAAAGACGGTTTGTCACAGACACATCTGCAGTAGACTGGTTGAATTGGATTTTTGACAGCAGACGAACGCGAGGCATAAGACATGATTCCAGACGTCGCTGTGGAAACTCAACATCTAAGACAAGCCTCTGGATGAGAATGTGTCAGTTTTTCATCAGACGGAGGCAGAGAAGAGTAAAGAGTGTTGTCTGAAGTGAAGTGTGGTCCTGGGGGAGACACTCTACAGACACCTCCCAGCTCTGCTCACAGCGTGGAGCGATGGAAGGACTCACACAAACTGGATTTAGAGCAAAAAGCCTATCATGATTAAGTAACTGTCAACATGATAACAGAACTATGACAGCTTGAAAGGTAAGAATTACTCGGCTTTTGAACACTGCTTCTGCAAACCCCAGTCTATAAATCTTTCACATGTTTTGCTACTTTAATGTTTAGTAGCCTTGCAGTCTACTAAACATTAAAGGCGAAGAAATGGCAGACCTGACTCTCCCGCTGGGGCCGAGAGTCAGGACTCGGCATGGGGAGTCCGATTTTCAGATTTATGGGGCCTAAATCTGAAACTGTCCTCCCGAGCTCATAAAACAGGCCATGTCCCTGGCAAAGTCTTATTTAGATGACTTTGTGAATTAGCTAGCCTACATGGTTAACTCTGGCACATGTAGATTAATGTGCACTGTCCCAATTCAAAAAAGCATTTATGTTTTCATGTTAGATGATTTTGACTTTTTACTGAATTTATAATACAATATTTTCTATGTATTTGCACCGTCTGTTTTTATATGTCATGTATTGAGTTTGGCTTATAAAGCATTTTGGGCGTTCATACAGCATTTCACAGCAGTTGATAACATTTTGAAATGTAAGTTGCTACATTTGGAAACATTGTAAATGCCTTTCAACTCCTAAACTGAACACGCTTTGCCTTGTATTCTCTGTGTTATTTTTGCACCCCTACAGCATGTGAAACCTCCGCAGATCACGATGCCTCAGCCCACTTCAGCTGTGAACAAAACAACAACACAGAGCCACCTTTTATTTCCATCTGTTGTTTTCCTGTTATCGCCGTCCTCCTTGTTCACTGTACGCAGCCCGTGAACTACACTATCTGAAACTGGAAAACTGAAAAAAGATTTGCGACGACATTTCCCCAGAGAGATGGATGCAGGTCGCTGTGGCTAGGACGACTAATTAGACGAGAAGAGGGGAGGTTTAAATTAGCATCGGTGTGGCACAGATATGGTCCAACGCACTGCTCCGAGAACAAGCCCAAATGTGTGCTGGGTTCTGCTGCTTGTTGTGGACAAATACTATGAATTATATATTTCTGAATGGGACTTCATATTCAAATGCGACCCAAATGTCTGTGCCCTTCTTATGTTGTCCAGGCCGTGATACAAAATGAATCTCTGTAAATCATTTTGCTGTCAGGTCAAACTAACCAACTACCTTGTCATGCCCGATGAATTTAAAGCTGGGGTGCGTATAAATTATACAATCCATTCGACCCAATAGAAACAGTCTTGAAAAAGTAAGTTTTGTGAACAAATCAGACTACAACATGCTGTCTTCATTGCAATAAAAACATCTAATATTTTGCGATACTTCACATAAAGAGACGTGTGAGCCCTGAAAAAGCTGATCTAACGATGTCACAGAGCCCAAAAACCAAACTGTACTTAGTTGCAATCCCTAATGTATGTAATTGTCACATTAGGTGTAGAAATGTGTGACATGAAAATGAATCGTAATATTTGTAGATAACTTTAGCTATCTACTAAATTATTAACAATTGTAAACCGCTTTGAGACTCAGATCTGCAGTGAAAAGGCAGTATATAAATAAAAACTTACTTACTAACTTACTTACTTTAGCGACAACAAGAACTGTTGTGGGGGAGGAGACAGTGTAAGAAACAGTTTGAACATAGTTGAGTGTATTAATCTAATGTTTCTTGTAAAAAAAAAAAGTGGTATAAAACTTTAAAAAAATGGAAAACCTTTGTTTTGCCTAGAGAGCCATAGCAATTTTTGGCTACTTGTTACTTACGATCAGAATCAGAGTCATTTTTGGCAATAAAGAGAATTCTGATTCTGATTCTGAGCCCAATGAGCCTCAAATGCAGATGTATTTGTCCGGACATGGGGCTGGTTCGGTGCTGTCCATCGCTCTGTGTTTACCTTGCAGCATTGAGCCGGGGAATATTTATCATTTCCTGACAACAACAACTTCACAGAGATTATCAATGTCACTATTGCATTTGTCACTAGTGCATATTGAGGTGTTGCAAGTGTGAGAAATAACATCAGCGTATTACAAATATCCATACATTAAAAAGACAGAACAACAGCAAAATCCTTTTCTAAAACCTGGTCCTCTGCTGTTAGCAGAAACCTTGTATCGTATCCAGTTTGACTTATTGCGTATTCAGATTTTGTATTTGTTGGTACAGAGGAGGCAAGCGTCCCTCAGCTGCTAAACAGAAAATATATTCCCCTCAGGATTATAAAAACATTTACATGTTCTATGTCTATGGTTATAATGAGTTATCTCTATTTCAACTACCTGAACCAGTCTGCCAATTCTCCTCTGACCTCTCACATCAACAAGGCGTGTTCGCCCACACAAAAACCACTCACTGGATAATTTCCCATTTTCTGACTCAAAATTATCTGTAAACCCAAGAGATGCTTGAGTGATAAACCAAAATTTACAGAGAAATACTCAGACCTGCCAACATTCTCCAACAACCATTCCGATGTTCCAAATCACCAAATCAACATTCTAAAAGCGTTAACAAAGTCCCATTAAACTTTTTATGAAGAATATGTTTATTTGAAAAGATCTATATCCATATCCAGTAAACCCATGGATAAGCATGTTTCCATCTTCTACCTACACTGATGTGACAGGGAGGAGGAGAGTGTCCATGCTGCACACAGAGCTGCCATGTGTTTTATGTCTGGAGTGAACCGCTTGCAGGACGCCTCTCTTGATACATTCTGCTGCTATGACTTGTGCTACATTATTAAGTTTTACCAACCTCTTAAATATATCTACTTGACATTCTTTCTGTTCCCTTAAAGCCCGGATTAACATTCAGTGCCACCAACATCACCTGTGCATCCAAAACGTCCTGACGTCTTTACATCTGCTCTTGTGTATTTCTCTGTGAAATGCTTGCGGCAAGTTGTTTCCAAACATAATACCTGGCAGCGGTGGCATTAAAATTCTACTAGATGGAGTGCAAATAGACTATTTATTTTTGGCAGGGGTAAATGTAGAGAGATGATTGGCTGGAAATACCTTCGGGACAGTAGCACCTGGGCCCGGCCAAGCTGCTGAAACATGTGGCTTTGTTCTTGCAGGGCTGGGAGAGGCAGTGGTCCACCAGGCTCTGGCAGCGCTCGCCTTCATAACCTGAAAACACAAATTTAAGTGTTCGCTAAAATTAAGAGATTAAAGAGAAAAGTTAAGTGGAGAACAAAACAGCAAAAACTCTTATGTGAAAAATGTCATAAAGGTTAATATGGTATGTTAATCTTAGCTTACGGCAGTGGTGTCGACACTCATTTTGGTCGGGGATGAAACTATAAAAGTGGTTTTCTTTTGTTATAATACATTTGTATTACTTTAATTGTCCATGTCATAAAAGCCTGTTGCTGCAAGGTAATAATAATCATTTTAAATCATTCCAGGGTCCATGGGCTTGAGTTCAACATGCCTGGCTTACGGTATTTTTTTTTTATTTGTGCCAAAATGAGCAATGTGGTCAATCATGTGTCACAGGAAATAAATGACCAAAGCACGTGATGGCAGCGAACGCAGGGTTGTTGGAGAAACGGCCCTTGATTGCAAAAGAGAAGGATAACATCCATTTATTACTCTACTGTAGAGTAATTAAACAGTTGTACGGAAACAATTATAACATGGTCAACCCTTGAAATATCAATATTCTATGTGCTATTATTTGTTTTAACAAGAAATAGAAAAACAATTAAAGCACAGTACAGATACAGTGCCTTGCGAAAGTATTCGGCCCCCTTGAACCTTTCAACATTTCCCACATTTCAGGCTTCAAACATAAAGACATAAAAATATGTTTTTTTGTCAAGAATCAACAACAAGTGGGACACAATCGTGAAGTGGAACAAAATTTATTGGATAAATTAAACTTTTTTAACAAATAAAAAACTGAAAAGTGGGGCTGTAAAACCTATATTTGTGACCAGAATTAATTGCTTTTTTTCCCCAAAACAACTTTGCTTCTTGGAGCATTGGATAAAACACAACAAATAAGTGACAACAAATGTCATGTTTAAGAATGGGGAAAATGTGCCTTTGGCCATTTCTGGTCTCTGCAGCATGATTGTGGTGCAATGTCCGGTGACTTGTCTGAAACACAGAGATTTACAAAGCCAGTGCTTTGCATTGTAACAGAAACTGAGAAGTGGAATAATGACATGACAACAAGACAGAAAGACACAGTATCATGCTGCTACAATATATTCTTAAGTAATGTGCCACTGAAAGAGCTCATGGTCATGTTCTGTTCACAGATAAGCTATAGATAGGTCTTTTTAGTCTGTATGATGGGATCAAGAGAGGAGCGATACATTAAACAAATGAGACAATGGATCTAACAAAGCTGAGGAGCTACTGACGCATCACATTCAGAACATGCAGCCTTTGCTGCCTTTTCAATTTTCTTTCTCCTTGATCCAGATTCTTTTACCCTCTTCTGACTAAAGCTACTCCAAACAACACAGTTGACATTCAGCTCTCCAAGGCCCTGACCCCGAGCGGCTTCCAAAAAACCATGTCTCAAAATATCAAAGTGTGGACCCACTTCTGTTCCACGCTGCTCTGGTTTGGCTAATGAGGAGCACTGCGGCCTCAGATATGTTAATCAGGCTTGCACAAGAGCCTGTATATAGTGTCTGAATAATGTTGTTTCTTGTTGGCCTGTTGGTCCGCACCTGGGGGGCAGAGGCAGGTGAAGTTGCGGCCCTGGGACCCCTGCCTCACGTCGGAGCAGGTCCCGTTGTTGCGACACGGTCTGTGGTGGCAGGCGTCCAGCTCCTCACAGAAGATGCCGGTGTAGCTGTCGTCGCAGTCGCAGAAGAAGGTACTCTGAGGAAAACAAAGGAGATGTTAGGGTCAGATAGACAGTATAGAGAGATGGAGTACATAGAGTTGCAGATGGCCTTTTCTCTCCTTTCAAACACATGGCAATGACTTATGGAGCTCTGAAGACACTTCCCCTCCCACAGGAAAACTTTAAAAACTGCTTTTACCATAAGCACTTGTACAGTACAGTAGCGAAGCAGACCTGCACCCTCCGCAGCATTGACCATTTTGAACCAGGCTCTAAAGCTGTGTTTGACTCGTGAGAATTTCCCAAAGGTTTCATGGTTTACAATTCAGCAGTCAGAAGTACATGCGTGGAGCCAGACTGCAGAGATGGCCACCCCATAGCCCTGATTGGAGAGTCAACCACTCCCACTGGTCAGAAGGACACAAAGGACATGTTGTTACTAATCAATAATAATTTTAGCTTCAGCTTTCAACCATAACTTAAAATTAAATATTTTTTTGTGAACAGTGTTTTCAACCCGTGCCGTGGCATGTCAGTGTACCCTGAGATGTGGTTTAGTGTTTGGAGGTGGTAATTGATAAAAAAATAACATGAGAAGAGATTTTTTTGTGCTTGTTTCATTTTCTTCAAACAAGCACTTTGAGAATGAATCACTTTGCTTTGTTAATAAAGGTTGGGGAACAGGGTATTAGAAGATGTAGCAGATGTCTGTTTATTGAGTACATTTCTTAACATTGCACTTGTTCACCCCGTCTGGCTTCATTTTTATCTGCAGTATTTAAGAAAACAACCCAACACTGCGATAAGCAACTTTGTTATTTGTCTGTGTCGTCATTTCACAAGCTCTCTAACCACAGCCACTATAAAGTTTCTTAACTTTAACATTTCATTGTATTTCATCATGTTTGCGCTGAATTATTATTCCATTGTTTTACACGACTTCTGGTATTTTCATCATTTAATGATGATGTAGTAAGACTGTACTCAGGGCTTCTTATGTCTGAACAGAAGAACTATCCAGCTATACTTTACACACATAATACCAAATGGACTGTTAATGCTGAAAGAACAGTGACGGATTAATTATTATTTCAAAATTCATTAGCAACATTCTAACAAAGGCTGTCTTTATTGAGTGTATGTTACCATGGTCAGGGTTCTTGACACTGGTCGAAACTATAACTTCCTTTTGGTTCATCTGAATTATTTGTTGCTGTGTGAGTTGAATCTTATCTCCTCCTTGCCCCCACCTTTTCCCCCCTCCTTCTCTTCCTACATGAACTCATTCCCCTCTGTCAATTTTCGGCACCTTCTCTCTCCTCCTATTAACAATTCTAGCGGGAACTTGATGTGAATGAGGCAGAAAAAGGTGATGCCAGCTTTGAACCGTATCGCGCCTTTCTGACTCTGCAAAGTTTAATATTTTTGTATTCTGTCTCTCTCAGCTCCATCTCATTAAAGTATACATATCATTTCCACTACAGAACATGTTGTTTTCAGTCCTCACCTCAGAGGGTTGCGTGACACATCTACCTTTGCCAGAGCACTGTGGGTCACTGAAGCTGCTCCCAGGCTCCACGCAGCTGCTGGCCTTCACCGTGAGATTCAGACGCAGTGTAACCTCCGGGGCAGTAGGGGCGCCCACACGCAGTACACCTGTGACAAGACATATTGTGAAAATAGGGGTTAACACTAACGACTTCTTTAATGGACAAGGTTCTCTGCTATTAAGATGGACGAGGACAGTGAAAACACCCATTTACTTGAAAATTAGCATTAGAATTAGTTTACAAGCTTTGACAAGTCCTGACCTTGAGTTAAAACCATAGACTGTAAATAATAATGGACGTAGTCACGCCTATCTCCGCCGTTCTAACTAATGTGCCACAACTACACAAATGGGCGCGGGGGCTGGAAAATGTGCACAACTTTTCGACCATCCTGTAAAAACGTTTTCATAAGCTCAGCTAATGCTATACGTTAGCATTAAATAATTCTCATTCCGGGTCCACCCCCATCGGCCCGGGGTGGTATTACAAGCATCTCAGCGCACGTCATTTTGGCCATTTTTGAGCCGGGACCCGCCCCCACTGGTTAAAGCACGTCAGTTTTTAGTCAATTGATATTTCAAAAAAAATTCACAAGGGCCTCACACTGCTCCTTTGTTTCTTAAGCCCTATTTCCACCAGCTCTACTTGGCGCCACTCTACTCTTCTCGGCTCTACTCTACCTTGATTGGGACCCTGTCAACCCTGGCCGACCTGGTACGTAAGTGTTCTAACTGACAGTGATTGTCCAGAGTGCAGCTGTAAGCCATGAATACTGGTTTGTTGTGGGTAGTATATGGTACAGGACAGGGACGTGCGGTGAGGTTTGTGATTGGGGAGGCACTGACTTTAAAAGTCAGATTTACAATCATTATTCAAATAAAATAGCATTTAATCACCAATGCAATGACATCCACAAACTTTATATACTGTAAAGATAAGAGAACCAGCTTCTTTTAATAATCTCACAACAAATCTAGCTGCTGACTCTGCTCCGCATCAAACAACATCTTTAAGAAGCGCAGGTGCGAGAGACGCGAGGAGAGAGAGACGCGAGGAGAGAGGAGCAGAGAGAAACAGAGAGGAGCAGAGAGAGACAGAGAGGAGCAGAGAGAGACAGAGAGGAGCAGAGAGAGACAGAGAGGAGCAGAGAGACGGAGACGCGAGGAGCAGAGAGAGACGCGAGGAGAGAGGAGCAGAGAGAGACAGAGAGGAGCAGAGAGAGACAGAGAGGAGCAGAGAGAGACAGAGAGGAGCAGAGAGACGGAGACGCGAGGAGCAGAGAGAGACGGAGACGCGAGGAGCAGAGAGAGACGGAGACGCGAGGAGCAGAGAGAGACGCGAGGAGAGAGGAGCAGAGAGAGACGGAGACGCGAGGAGCAGAGAGAGACGCGAGGAGAGAGGAGCAGAGAGAGACAGAGAGGAGCAGAGAGAGACGGAGACGCGAGGAGCAGAGAGAGACGCGAGGAACATAAACAATAATTTAAACAAGTTGCAGAACTCTTGAGCAGTGTTTGAATCAGTGTTTTTCGGAAAAGCACTACTTTGCCGGTATCTGTCAATGTTCAACATAAAACACAGATTAACAAACTCCTCCCCCGCAGCCGGACTAACCTCGTAAGTCCAGTGGTGGTCTCCCAGTCTATATTAATTCTTTCTTTGTTTGAAAGTCCAATTGAGAAAAAAAATCTTCATTCAAATCATCCATTTTCCAGCAAAAGAAATAGCATTTTGGGCTGATTGTTTGTTAGCAACTCTGGTATGAACTTTATGCTCACTATCACCCCTAGCGGTGAGGCACAGATACCGCCTGCCTCACGCCAAGCTTTTTCCTTGTGTGTTCATCTACGATCAAAAGACTTAAACTAAATATAAATTGTACACACATACGTGCAATACACTACTAAACACTAAGAGGAGTTTAAAAAATGTTTTTAAAGCAGGATATTTGAAACAAACGGTGATATATCAACTGCACGAGCTGAGTGCACTCAGACACACACACACACACTGTGAGGAAGCGGTCTGGGGTGAGGCACGCAGGAGCGCTGCCTCACCTCGTCTCTTTGAATAGGAATAACGGGATTTCGGCGATTTTGACTTCAGAAATGATCAAAACTGATGGGAACCGTGCCGAATATACATTAAAAGCATAGGACAGTGGATATAAATTATATATTTAAACTAAAATAATTATGTAGGGTGAGGAAAAGGTGAGCGCCAATCGGGCGTGAATAACAGATGTAAGGTTAAACTGGGGACAGGACCAAGCCGGGCCTGTCTGTTTATCATCAACCAAATGGTAAATAGACCTTCAAAGGAGCCGTGAGTTCAGCTCAGGGCCCACATCCATCACTGGTGATTGCCGACGCCAGACGGGCCAATAAAAGCAGCAGGATATCCATCTGGCACCTCTCTATGCGCTGATACACATCAGCATTGTCACCAGGAATGCATTCCACGGACCAAGGGGTCCACCCGCGGCCCTCTGGCGCCCCCTAGCGAACACTGGACGCTACCACACCCAAGGAGGACACTCGAAAGACATTATTCAATGACACTATGATTGATAACCGTGACAGACCTTACATGTGTGTATCAATGTCAAAGTAATGAAATTCGGTGTGTGTTTGTACATGGTTGTGATCTTTTGATTAATACTGTATGCTCCCATTTTAACACGTCTGTGGTGAGGAGGCGGCCCAGGAAGACGCCCAAATATGACGTCACGGGCGCGCCCACCTCGATCACAACAAAACCAGTTGCAATGCATTGCTCTCTCTCTTGTTTTCTCCTCGAATTCACTATGGCAACCTCCTGATCGGCTCTGCGGCAGCGCAGTACGAACCTCCTGATCGACTGTGCTCGCCCGCATCGAGATCTCCCCTTTCAAACACTCTTCTCTGGCCCGGGACCTTATGAACTGTCCATCACCAGCCTCTTTCACCGGCCCTGGACTCCACGCATCGCTGGATCCGCAGTTGGACCACGCCGCTGGCTTCATAACTCCCGCCAGCTCGAACAAAGAAACCACGTGAATGAGGACGCCGCCTCAAGCCTCTCTTCATTCTCCACATCCTTCCCTTTCATCAAACACATCCTCTACGCTCCTCCACAGTAAGACTGTTCTGTTGTTCAATGTCCAATTTGAATGATATGTGTACAAACTCCTACTCAAATGTGACCAAAGAATCCCCTTCGTTATATTTTACCCTCATTTCTGTAATCAATAAATCCCTTTTATTAACTCAATCATATCAGAGTCGTGTTGATTAGGTTTCGGACTATCCCTGGTAGATAAAAGTACCCACTACCTATTAGATTCATCAGATTGATATCGAGGCAAGATTTGGTTGGTGTCTATGTGCAGATTTCTAATTCTGCTGGTGCCCAAAATAAATAACATAGACCTGTTGTGGAACGGCGAGCTTCCGCTCCGGAGACTAGCCGCTCACACTACCAAATTCATACTAATAAGCAATTATAGTCAGCATATAAGTAGCATATCCTACATATGGTACCCTGTGTGAAATCCGCGTAAATAGACCAAATCTATCGACTCTACTCGTTGTGATCTGTATACGCTAACTAGAGCTGCTCACGCTCCAAGCGCTGTCCCCCCACCTCCCCACCCCCTCTGCTCCTCTGTGCTCCGTTGCTATGGTGAGTTCGAAAAACAATTTGAGCTCCCCCTAACGCGAACGCTTGCAACGTCCGTGATCCCACCAGACTAATTTTATTTAGTCTCAAATCCCGGCTTGTACTGGGTCCTACGCATCCCTCTACAACGTTTCGCCCTGCTAAGGCAACGTGAGGGTGTGAAGTCGCTCCCTCTCTGAAGAGAAAGCGCAAAATCTTATCCTCGTAACCCGCTGTGCACCGTGTCCAGAACACGGACGTACAGACCTCCTCTGTGCTCCTTTGTGACCCGAGTCACACAGGATTGTAACCGAGTATATCGGTGCAAAAGGCTGTAAATGGCAGCTGTTTGAATGTGATGCTATCGTTCTGCTAAAGGGTGCTAACGCTAACTCTCTCACCACTCTCTCTGCCTGCTAACCTGCTGTTGTATACACACACCAGCACCCTACAGTACATACATACAAACCCCATTCCACCACTACAAACACGTGCTTGTGCGAACCGTATAACTCGCTCCAGACTTTCGTTTTATAAACTACTGCTAAAACCTCCGCGCTCGAAAGCTAACGGCTAAGCTACCCTCCTTTGTTCTAGCTAAGCTAACTTCCGCTCGGGCCTGCTAAGCCTCAAAGCTACACTCGGACAACATCGTTGTCCTACTACTGCTCACACTATAAGCTGCTTCTCTACCGTTAAAACTAGTGCTACTCTGTTTGACCAAACTGCATTCGGTTACTAAGACTCATTGTTTACTGCTCAAACTGCTTCTAAAAACGTGCCGTTGCCGGCAAAACTAGCTAGCTACGCTCCTTTGTTTTTAGCATACGGCTAAACTTCCGGCCCTGGCGCGCTAAAAGCCAGAGCCGCATCCCCACTGCTAATACCATTCTGCTGCATTGCCTACCCGTTGTCTAACAATAACAAAACGTACTATACTTTCGTACTATCCTATTTCCCTCTGATTCTGTGTTTTTGACGATCATGAGGTGCTAACATTGCTAAATGAGCCGCACCTCTTATTGTCTAACACGGAATCGCTTTCCGGTCCCGGTGAACCACTTCCGGGACCACATTGCTGCTGTCTTGACTTCTAACCTGCACCACGTCTCATGATCAAGTGATTGGCTGTGGTTGTAACATTAACACTGTTTTGGCTGTTGTCCCTTGCTGTTTCTGCTCCAACTATAATCTCTACTTTGCCAAACTTGATGTTTGATTGTACTAAACGACTACGCTAATTCCACCCCTCCTCCTGCATGCCATATGCTTTTCTGTTCCCTCCCTTGGTGTTAGAACACATAACTAGGAATAACAATTTTAACTCTGCTCCTTCTGCATGTCATATTGTTGTGTCTACAACCACGTTACTGCTATACATTGGTACAGCTAACACTCTGTCCTGCTTCTCCTATTGAACATAATTGTTAGGCTACATTACTGCGTTGGCCAAGTTTCATACTGTAACTCTGCTACTTCTAGCGCATGCTGCTATTTTGAACACATTACTGCTATACATAACCAAAACTAATACTCTATTTCTACCCCTCACTGTCACTAAAACTGCATTGCCTCGCCGCTCAGCCTGCTGCCTTTTGCTACTGCTTAAACGCTGCGTGCTAACGCTGCCTGCTAACGCTGCGTGCTAATGCTACGTGCTAACGCTGCGTGCTAACGCTGCCTGCTAGCGCTGCGTGCTAACGCCGCGCCCCTACGTGCTGCGTACCTAAAAACGCCGCGCCCCTACTTGCTGCGTAACTAAACGCCGCGCCCTTGCTGCTTAAACGCTGCGTGCTAACGCTGCCTGCTAGCGCTGCGTGCTAACGCCGCGCCCCTACGTGCTGCGTACCTAAAAACGCCGCGTCCCTACTTGCGGCGTACCTAAACGCCGCGCCCTTGCTGCTTAAACGCTGCGTGCTAACGCTGCCTGCTAACGCTGCGTGCTAATGCTACGTGCTAACGCTGCGTGCTAACGCTGCCTGCTAGCGCTGCGTGCTAACGCCGCGCCCCTACGTGCTGCGTACCTAAAAACGCCGCGCCCCTACTCGCTGCGTAACTAAACGCCGCGCCCCTGCTGCTAACGCTGCGTGCTAACGCTGCCTGCTAGCGCTGCGTGCTAACGCCGCGCCCCTACGTGCTGCGTACCTAAAAACGCCGCGCCCCTACTTGCTGCGTAACTAAACGCCGCGCCCTTGCTGCTTAAACGCTGCGTGCTAACGCTGCCTGCTAGCGCTGCGTGCTAACGCCGCGCCCCTACGTGCTGCGTACCTAAAAACGCCGCGCCCCTACTTGCTGCGTAACTAAACGCCGCGCCCCTGCTGCTAACGCTGCGTGCTAACGCTACGTGCTAACGCTGCGTGCTAACGCTGCGTGCTAACGCTGCCTGCTAGCGCTGCGTGCTAACGCCGCGCCCCTACTTGCTGCGTACCTAAAAACGCCGCGCCCTTGCTGCTTAAACGCTGCGCCTCTAACGCCGCTGCGTCTCAAGCTACGCCGCGCCCCACGGTGCGCCCACAAACGCAAGTGCGTCCACACACGCAGGTGCGTCACTAACGCTGCGTCTTAAGCCGCGTCTCTAACGCTGCGTCTTAAGCCGCGTCTCTAACGCTGCGTCTTAAGCCGCGTCCCTAACGCTGCGTCTTAAGCCGCGTCTCTAACGCTGCGTCTTAAGCCGCGTCCCTAACGCTGCGTCTTAAGCCGCGTCTCTAACGCTGCGCCTTAAGCCGCGCCCATCACGCTGCGTCTTAAGCCGCGTCACTAACGCTGCGTCTTAAGCCGCGCCACTAACGCTGCGTCTTAAGCCGCGTCTCTAACGCTGCGTCTTAAGCCGCGTCACTAACGCTGCGTCTAAAGCCGCGTCTCTAACGCTGCGTCTTAAGCCGCGTCTCTAACGCTGCGTCTTAAACCACGTCTCTAACGCTGCGTCTTAAGCCGCGTCACTAACGCTGCGTCTTAAGCCGCGTCTCTAACGCTGCGTCTTAAGCCGCGTCTCTAACGCTGCGTCTTAAGCCGCGTCACTAACGCTGCGTCTTAAGCCGCGTCACTAACGCTGCGTCCCAAGCCGCGTCTCTAACGCTGCGTCTTAAGCCGCGTCTCTAACGCTGCGTCTTAAGCCGCGTCTCTAACGCTGCGTCTAAAGCCGCGTCTCTAACGCTGCGTCTTAAGCCGCGTCTCTAACGCTGCGTCTTAAGCCGCGTCTCTAACGCTGCGTCTTAAGCCGCGTCCTTCACGCAGCGTCTTTACGCCGCGTCCATCACGCTGCGTCTCTAACGCTGCGTCCGTAAACTAATGATTACAACCATAAAAGTCAGGTAATGCGCTTTGTCTATAAGATTTCTGTAAAACGTGCGATACAACACCCTCCGCCTCCTCCCGGAGTCGGGATGCAGAGATATCCTCGGCATGTCCAGACTTATAGAGTCATTTCATCTGGGAATCACTCCCGACTTACTCACCGAAATGGATTCAGAGGGTGCTGTGCATAGGGCTGCCGGGGCGTTCAAAAGAAATTATTGATATTTTGCAAACTAGCCACAACAGAGAACTGAAATGACAGGGCCTTCATTCAAAAGAACATTTGAGCAGAAACAAAGAGAATGGGCTGCAGTGTTTGGTTTCCACCCTTTTCTCCTTTGGTTTTAGGTCTCGGTTTTTGTCCAGTTATTTTGGCTATTATAGTCTTGCAGGTATGTATTGTCAAGTTTTTTTGTGTCACATTTGGGACAGAAGTGGCCATACCTGCTGAGGATGGCAGATCTTGTCAGACTGAGCTGTTTTCCCGGAAGGGCTTTGGTTAGTGCTGTGATGGGAGACTCTGGGAACAGCAGGTGCCACCAGTGGGGCGGCTTCGGCTGTAAAGATACCGAACTGTGGTTCGTGTCCTTAAGGACAAGACGCTTCCCCCACAGTAGATAGAGTCTGGTGGGTTGAATGGTTGGTGGTGGTGAGAAGGGCTGATGCATAGACTGTTTGCCTCGTTCTGTCCCCAGTGTGCCCCAGGAGCGATGTGGCGTCTCAATGCTGGGTCCTGGATCTGACTCCTCAGACGCCCTGGTTAACTCTGCTATAGGGCCGGTATTATTGTTGTTTACCAGGTGGGTCCAGTCGGCATAGTTATATGTTGGGATAAACAAATAACGTAGAGAAAATAGAATGGAATTGATTTTTCAGTGTCATATTGTTGGAGATGTGTCCAACTGTTGATCGTGGGGTCTAGCAATGAAGTCGAACGGTTTTTTAAAAGCCGAGGAGTTGTGTAGTGTTCGTTACAACCATTAGACTGTATCTATGAATGGACCTAAGTTACGCTATCTCTTGCTGTTCTACGAAAGGGCCAAAAATTGGGCTTTCATGGAGTGATTCTCAATGGCGGAGGGGCGGTGGAAAATGTGAAAAAAAACGCATCTTTGCATGTGGTCCGCTGCACGGTCATCATTAACCTCGACTGGTCCCAAACACTCCCTCCGCATTGACACACATGTGGCAACCGGAAGCTTTTGCCAAGTGCTTGGCTAAATTACACATCAGTGAGGCGGGGGAGCCGACCCATCGTGGAGAAATTTTTGTGTTTTTCTTTCATATTCTCTTTTCTTATTATGTGTTTTCGTTCAGTGCACATGAGGTCCTTTCACAGCTGTTCCAATAGTGATTAGCTAGCAAGTGCAAAAAAATATACCACCTAAAACATATATCATCTTGGAATGGGGAGTTGCTGACGCTTACCTTCTTGAAAAACAGTGAAAATATTATGTCTCTCCGCGCTTTAGATGCACAAAGTTTTGTTAACGAATCAGGCAATGACGTTTTTATCTGACACATGAAGCTAACACAGCCCTAAATCAACAACAGTAGTTATCGTGGGACTTTACCACGACTATTGTGCTGTTTTTAGTGGTAGGGGAACGAAGAACCACCCAGAGGAAACCTACACAGACACAGGGAGAACATGCAAACGGGGAGGAGGGTTTAGGGCTGGGCATGTTGGATTGTTTTTAACTAAACTGTAAAGCACTTTGTGTTACACTTTTTGTATGAAAAGCGCTTTATAAATAAAATTTGATTGATTGATTGATAGTATCTAATATACAGTAGGTGAATTATTATCTGCAATTATTTTTATTTTTTATCTTTTTCAGTTGTGTTTAAGAAAAAATTAAAACAAGATATATAACGCTTCCTACGGCCTTATCTTATTTTCAAACTTAATGTCAGGTCCAAATATTGCAATTCTATACATGATTATTCGAGGAGTATAAACAAGAGTATAAACAAGAAATAGTCGTTCAAGATTAATTAATTCTCACAAACCTCCCTGGGTTCCATGGACAGGTTCCTTTGGCTCTAATCTGCTGCGTTTTGGCATAAAACTCAAAATAGAATGTTCTATAATAATTTTTAGTATGGATTTAAAAGTGTTTCAACTGATAAACCACCTCCAAAAACTTAGACAATGTTGCTTCAGGAGTCATTTAATAAACCTGGAAATATAAGTCAGATGCCCAGTTGAAACTTTCAAAAGTAGAAGTAAATAAATGTAACATTTGTTGTGTTTGTGAGACCCAAAGCAGATGCTCCCAGGTCCGAAGAAGAGATGTCTGATTTAGAGACGCACAGTACAGCTTAAGCGACCATCATAATAATCGTTCCAAAATACAGATGTATCAGAGGGCCTTTGTTCATATAATTATTCGGACTAATACATGTTAATTCTACACATGATGAATCCACTCACAGATCCAAGCTTCAAAAAGAACAACCATCAGGAGGAAATCCTTGGGTCCAAAATGGCTGTGAGGTGTTTGTACGTCGATGCCAGACTGTTTCATGTTCTCGCCCCCGGCTCAGAATTAGAGGCCAAATCCAACCGAGGGGAGCCAGCGTGGGGCCGGATCCTGCAGCTCCAGAGCATATTTGGGAAGCCTGTCAAATATAAACAGTTGATGATTACAGCAAAGTGCAATAATCTAAAAAATAAACATACTGTGGTCAGGATTAGTTTAATTAAAAAGTGAACTTTGAGCACTATTGCCACAAGTATCACGAAAACACATCGGCTCGATCAGAAGTGTCCAAACTGTTTAGTAACTTGAGTTCACCTGTTTTGATTGGGTTTGGGCAACTCTGAGCTTGATAATTTGCTATGACAGAGCTGATGTTGGCTGAATGATACATGTCAGTATTTAACGTTTAAAGTCAACGGCTAAATTCCAGAGGATCTAATCTTTACAAAAAGGTACTCCATGCCTACTGTATATTGACTGAGCTGAAGTTGGCTGGATGATACTGTTTTTGATCTCAAAGACTACTATTGTGTTAGCAAGGCACAGGGCCACATAAAATGACACAGTGGAAGAACCAAAAAACTGATGATATTCATTTTATTGTAATTTTTATTTATTTATTGTGAAGATACTGTATATAGACATACAATACAAGTGCAGACGTACAAACAACTACAGATACAACAAAACAGACAAGATACTCTGTGTGTCACTGTGTGGGTGTGTTTCACTGTGTGTCATGCGTCCATACACGTCGTTATAAAATTCAATCCACAGCTTAAAATCACTGTAGGTCCAGTTTCCCACAGACACATTTGCCGCAGACCACACCAAAAGCACTGGTATACATATAACTGTATGCGACTGCTAAACCTATAATTGACTTTCTATGCCCATGTACATTCAGGTATGACAATTTCTAAAGTAAACATACTGTACATGGCAAATTGATAATACATAATAATATAGGTCATGTTTTAGCACCTGGAAAAAGAGCAGGAGCAGAAAGCATCATTGCACTTGTCAAACACCACATTTGATCGGGTCAGGGCAGAGAAAGAACCTAACATTTTGCAGGTCATGTTGGCATTCAGAGGCAAATTGTCACGTGGTGAGAGATGGAGGACTCAAACGCAGGAATGCAAAAATAAAGGTTTTAATAAAACAAAGTCCAAGGCGTGAAAATAAACTCGAAAATCCAAAGAAACCAGAACAGGACATGAACAAGACAAGAACAAGACAATGAACCAGCAACAAGGGGAGAGAAGCACAGGGTACATATAGACACACACAGACACAGGTGAAACACATCAGGGCGGGGCAGACAATCAACAGGGAACAGGGCATGAAGCAACTGTCAAAATAAAACCGAATACTAAAATAAAATCCACACCATGACACAAATTACAGGATCAAATACATCAGACAGGGGCAGGATGACAGCTGTAACAGATTTTTCACTTTATTCAACAAAAAAATAAAATATATAAACCTGCAGCAGGTGAAATGAGGACTCAGACATCCATGTGCCGCGGGGAAAGAGTCAGCGATCGCTCCGGACGGAATTATGAGCAGTTTCTTTGGTGAGGAAGCGCGGCAAAATGTAAAAAGAGCATGAACCAAGAAGTGATATTTATGATATTTTAGCTGCTAAAACTAAATGAAATGTGATTATATAACTATAACTATAAAATATTATCATTGATCCATGTTCAAATCAGACCAGAAACAAACTCAAAATCCCCTTCCCAAAATCACGAATGGTGTATTTATTTATTTTTTGATTTCCATTGGATACTGCATATAGAGATCCATTAAAATGTTTTATTATACGGCTCTTCACAGTAGAAGTAAAACGCTCTAATGATTGGAATGTAATTTCAATCTTTTTATTTTTTTCTTTTGTCCTTTTGAAGTGGTCAATGTGCTAAAAAGGTGACATTGACACTGGCATTAAACTCCTGATTATGGCCTGCACATACTATACATAATATACATTAAAGCAGGGGTCTCCAACCTGTGGCTCGGGAGCTACCAGTAGCTCGCCAGCCCCTTCCAGGTAGCTCCCCAAAGGATTTATAATTCATCCCATGACAAAGTCATTAAATATAGGTTTAAACAGTAGTATAATGTGTTCTCCATGTGTCTTCTGTAATAATTATATAGATTTTTATTATGATTTTAATTAGGAGTAGCTCTCAGCCTCTTCTGTTATATAAAAGTAGCTCTCTGATTGGAAAAGCTTGGAGACCCCTGCATTAAAGTTCGTAGATTTCATGTTTTATATGACCTTTTAAATGTTAAATGTTTTTCTATTGTTATACATTTTGGAAGTAATTTTAATTCCTACATTCCTCTGTAAGTGAGTAATGTTTATTTATACAGCACGTTTTACAGACCAAGGTCACGCAAAGGGCTTTACAATGTTCAGAAATCAGATCAATTTTTCCATTCGCACACGGTGATGACAGAAGCGAGACGTTGAACAGACTGTAAATGAATGTTGTTTCAAAAGTACTTCATGGATTTTTAACTTGAAGCAGGTCTTGTGGTTTTCAGCACTGTTTTAAAGTATTGTCTTACGCAGAAACATTTCTTAAACGTGCAAGGGAATAGAAGAGTCTGCTGCTGTCATAATGTCCTGTACCAGTTGTGATTGTATTGTGTGTTTCTAACTTGTATTGGGCCATACAGTTGGACAGTCTTATCGATTTTGTGACCAATGACTGGAGAAACACAAAAGATTGTACCTGGTAGACACAGTTCAGCTGATCTGGAAACATATACAAGTGTCAGACTAATAATAATAATAATAATAATAATAATAATAATACATTTGATTTGTACAAACATGGTTAAAAACGGGGTGCAAATTAAAAACATTAGCATTATTAAAAACAAAAGAACAGAACTGGACAGAGGTGTTGGAGTGACTGGTCATGTGGAGAAAGAAAGTCTGAAAAGGTGTGTTTTGAGTCTGGATTTGAACAGGGGATGAGAGTCAGTGTTGCGGAGGTCAGGGGGGAGTGAGTTCCAGAGATGGGGAGCAGAGCGGCTGAATGCTCTACCCCCCATGGAGATGAGGAAGAGAGAGGGGACAGAGAGAAGGAGAGAGGAGTAGGAGAGAGGGAAGAGAGAGGAAGAGAGAGGGAAGGTGAGAGGAGGAGGAGAGAGGGGAGGTGAGAGGGGGCAGAGAGAGGAAGAGAAATGGGACAGATAGGAGGAGAGAGGAGGAGGAGAGAGGGAAGAGAGAGGAGGAGGAGAGGGGGGACAAAAAGAGGGAAGAGAGAGGAGGAGAGAGAGGAAGAGAAAGGAGACAGATAGGAGAAGAGAGGGAGAGAGGAGGAGGAGGAGGAGAGAGGGAATAGAGAGTAGGAGGGAAGTGGAGAGAGGATGAGAGAGGATAAGAGAGCAGGAGAGAGGAAAAGAGGGGAGAGAGAGGAGGGGAAAGTGGACAGAGAGGCAGAGAGAGAGGAGGAGGAGGAGAGAGGGAAGAGAGAGGAGGAGAAAGTGGACAGAGAGGCAGAGAGAGAGGAGGAGGAGGAGAGAGGGAAGAGAGAGGAGGAGAAAGTGGACAGAGAGGCAGAGAGAGGAGGAGAAAGTGGACAGAGAGGCAGAGAGAGAGGAGGAGAGAGGGAAGAGAGAGGAGGAGAAAGTGGACAGAGAGGCAGAGAGAGAGGAGGAGGAGGAGAAAGGGAAGAGAGAGGAGGAGAAAGTGGACAGAGAGGCAGAGAGAGAGCAGGAGAGAGGAAAAGAGAGGGGAGAGAGAGGAGGAGAAAGTGGACAGAGAGGCAGAGAGAGAGGAGGAGGAGGAGAGAGGGAAGAGAGAGGAGGAGAAAGTGGACAGAGAGGCAGAGAGAGAGGAGGAGGAGGAGAAAGGGAAGAGAGAGGAGGAGAAAGTGGACAGAGAGGCAGAGAGAGAGCAGGAGAGAGGAAAAGAGAGGGGAGAGAGAGGAGGAGAAAGTGGACAGAGAGGCAGAGAGAGAGGAGGAGGAGGAGAGAGGGAAGAGAGAGGAGGAGAAAGTGGACAGAGAGGCAGAGAGAGAGGAGGAGGAGGAGGAGAGAGGGAAGAGAGAGGAGGAGAGCTGAGGTCAGACAGGTGTGGAGCAGGTTATGGAGAGCTTTGAATGTGGTGAGGAGGATTTTAAAGTTGAGGCTGTTTTAAGGGGAGCCAGTGAAAGAGGAGAGTTCAGTTGATGCATGAACACAGGGAACAATAGGATCTGGCTCACGAGGCAGGGACCACAAAAACTATATTCATTGGAGAGGTCCCAGGTGTGCTGATCATGGGTGGGGAGGTAAAATATCCTAGAAACAAGGACAAGTTAAGGTGATTTAAAAATAAAACACAGAACAGGCCACGATGACAAGAAGTGCTCAGTGCTCGACCCATGAAGTTTATTCGACAAAAATCCCTGTGATTTTTTGCGAACTAAAAAAATAAAAATAACAAATTGACAATATTTTAAACTTTAGCTTCATCCTGCTTGCCTTTATTATACTGTACTTAACAAAGCCATGACTGACAAACCCAACCAGTTGTAGTCGCCCGTGCATATGGACAGAAGTGTGATCTGCTGTGATTTAAAGTCAGAATAGAGAAACAAGTAGCTATGATAACGTTTAATTCAATATCTCACATACACAGTTCTTTGTGCAGTGATTAGACTTTGTGCTGTAAACAAAGTCATGGTGATGATTCATTCACCGTTTTTTTCCACATCAAGGACATTCACCAGTTCACCTTCAGCTCATGTTGTTCTGCATAATTCATTTTCTCCTGTTGACCACCACCTTCTATTGTTCAACTCACTGGAATTATGTGGGAATGCTTATCAAACTGATGCAGGGGTCGTAGGATCCAGTGTTAGAGATGGAGGATGTTTGTATTAAGAGAAAACGCAGCGTAAGGGAAGTTCTATTTCAAGCTTGCTCTTGTTGTGAGCATCATTAATTATGGGTGGATTTAGTCCATGTCTGTTTTCTCCTGAAATGCATTAATAAAGCTGACAAATGCAGTTTGTTGACCTGCTTTAAAAACATCTCAAAGGAGCTGACAGTAACTTGAAAAAAGTCGATCTCACTTTTCCTTTTTTACAAACTACATTTTCATTAAGCAGTTCATACTTCATTCATCCATTTTCTTCCCCTTTGTCCATTTCTGGGTCGGGGTAAATACTTAATTGTATTTCATTTAAAATAATGTATATTTCTTTACGTTTATGTACAGTTTTTTTCAACAAAAATATATTTAGTCCCTCCCCTCGGCATAACTACAACCAGTAAGATTTGCTGGAAGAGAATAGAATAGCCAAACCAATGACAAGAGGCCTCAAGGATTTGAATACATTTCGACCAATCAGAAAGCTGCGGAGTTGAGTGTGGGCATCTTTCATCTTTCTCTCTTAACAATTTGGGAAGTAACTGACCCTGAGCTTTAACCCTTTTGGAGCAAGTATTTTCAGAAATGTTTTGAGAAACAGACAAAGGTGGAGCTCTGACACTTTGTGAGACTAAACTAAACTAAAATCAATGATTGAAATGAATGAAAGAGAAAGATGTAAATGTAGGAACAAGGGGAAATTGTAGAGAAATCTTTGCTTTATGTTGTCATTTAGAAAAGGTCCCTTTTTCAGACTAATGGCAAAGCGTTGACTGTATTATGTACAATACTCAAATCTGTTTTTGCTTTACTTGATAAACCAATAGTGCAATAAAACCAAGATTTTCTTTTGGATCGCTAATATGGGGCATTCTTGGGTTTCATTAAACTGGCCAGTAGGGGGCGAAGGAGCAGAGGTGGGACAACTCAGTTTTGCTCCCATTGAAAACCATGTAAATCGTGTCTGTTTTGGAGTCAAAAGGCTCTCCTCCTGTGCGGTGTACTGTTGTTGGAACAGTCTTAATCACGGACACTTAATTCTAAGGGAGTACTAACAAATATTTCTCAAAAGAATCTTGATTTTGGGCATTTTTGAAAATAAATAAATACATTTCTGCGTTTCATTGGGGTGGTCTGCAGGGGGCACTTATCTGGGAAAGCCTTGATCCACCTCGCCTGCCTCATTCGAATTATTTTTTCAAAGTGTCCTCCTTTATATGAGACCACAGTTGGAACACAGAAGAAACTCTTGTTTTTATTTGTGCGGTTGCTACAAGCGTACACCGCACAAAAAGATGGCATTTTGACAGCGCTTCTTCTTCTACTATATCTCTGTGTATAAACCCGGCAGACTGCACCGCCAGGATACGTCACGTCCTGTCCTACGTTTGTTATTTGCGCCACTGCCCTGACGTCATATGAAACCCAAGAATAGGTTGTCCCGCTCCCTATGGTCCAATGGCTCCTATGTGTGTGTTTTGATTGTATTTCCTGTGTCCGAACTGTTTGATTCTCTGATCTGTTGTTGGTGAAACGACAACTTTTTATAGTCCTCCAAGATGACTGCTGTTCTTGGCTAAACAAAATAAAAAATTGATTTGAATTAAAAACATACTTAACATTTTGCTTCTTCAATGCACATTTCAGCATCTGTCTTTCAGGAGCAATCGAGTAATCATGAAGAAGCAGCATATATTTACAAAAAATCTCCACCAAACACAATTTAAATGATTATTTCTGTGCTCAAATGGCAGAGCATATATAGTACAATGTCATAGAGATAAGCCTTAGAGAAAGCGTAGGATATGCTGTTTAATGTCTCACTCACATGATGTCCCCTGGAGCGGCTGACAGTGACAAGCTGCTTTAAAGTCCAAGTCATCACATTAACCACAGCCTGTTAGTGTACACTGTCACACTGCTGCTCATTTGCTAATTCTCCATAATGAGAATGTTGAGGGCTTTCATCTACCCTGAAATGTGTCTGATGACTCGGAGCAATAGATGATAAGCATGAAGAACTTTTATGGCGATTCTGTGTTAATAGGTTGTGTTTATGTTCTGAAATTTGGTTTCAGTTGGGGATCCATGTGGCAAAACAATTCTATGCGGAAGAATCGATGTTTAAAAGAAATGTTGAAAAATAAAATGCAAGTCTAAAGTCCTTTCTACTGGCCAATATCTTGCAATTGTTTTTGATTATAGTCACCACTTCTAAACGCCATTATGAGAAAATAATTAAACATTAGTTTTTTGTGCTGACAGAAGAATTTCAAAGGAATTGCAGTTTTTTGTTGAGTCGTCCATTGCTGATGCAGGAGGGTCTAAGGACCGGGATGATCTGAGACATTTACTAACATTCATGGAAATTGATTATCCCGCTCCCTCTGAATTCAAACTCATTTTGGGATCATTTACACAAAGTCATTTTCCTGACCTTTTGTGTTCAGGGTCGTGGTGGGGGCCAGCGGAGCTCCGGTGCTGTGGCGCGTCAGTGAGGAGGGCTTCCTCCGCTCCTCCATCCTGAACGGGACTACACTGAGCTTCCTACAGGCTGAGGATGGACTGGTGCTGCCGGACCAGCTGCTGCCCCTGGGACAGAACTACTTCCTCAGTAAGAGGCACCTACACTGGGAAAAATCACTTGTATAGACGGGTAGGATACGGTTGCACATTATACATTTCACCATAGTGGGCAATAGTGTAACGGGCTCATACAGCATTATGCAGCCCGGTAGCAGAGCTCATGCTTCACAACAAGAAGCTTGTGGGTTCAATCCCTTGTGGGCCTTTCTGAGTTGCCGTGTCTGGGTGGGTTTCCTCCTGGCACTCCGGTTTGCCTCACCCCCCAATGACATGTACAATAGTTAAACTCCTCTGGTAGTCCTGACCAAGCCCCTGGTGCGGTCGTTGAGATGACTGCTACAGGTTGCCCTTGTGGCCTTGCAGGATGGGTTTAACCAAACATCCAGCATTTTCTTTTCTTTGTCACAACAGGGAGAGTGGGTGGCAAATGTGAAATTGGCATTTTCTGTTCAGCCATTTTAGGTTTTAGAAAATCCGATAACTCAGGTATGCGTACCATAGACTGCAGTCGCGAGAAACAGGAAGAGGGTGAAAGGGGAGAAACTAATCCCATTGGTTTATTTTTATCGGTCTGCTCCAAAATATTTTGGACTTCAGGCATCTGGTCAATTCCAAAACTATTTGAAAACACATGATGACTTGACTACTTTTAAGGTTTAAGGACGTTTTTCCACAATATTTAAAAAGATGCACTCAGTGATTAAAAAAAATCACTGACTGCATCTTTAAATGCAGAGGACACATTCCAACATGGTTTAACTGCAAAGGTATAAATACCATTCACTAAAAAAACTTATGCAAAGTTACTATTACAAGTTATAATCCGTGTTGCATGTTAGACTCATGCATGTTTCACAAATGGTCTGTTGGCACTTTAAAGTAATGCCATCTATGCTGTCTGTGGCCTCATTTGTTTTAAAATGCATGAGACAACATGGCTTTCTTCATACAGTAGAATGTGTGGTACATTTCGTGCCTCTTGCTGTTTCCTTCTAAACACGCCACATTTTATTGTACCTCAAGTGACATAGCAACAAACCTGAGGCAGGAACTGAACCAAATAGTCTTCAGCTTATTGGCTCAATGTTTAAACCCATGTGGGACACAGCAGATGTTAAATCCAAGGGTACAACTTCAGACTTTTTAACTAAAGCCATTGAATTAAAAGTCCTGGAGTTAAAAACATGAACATGATGTCAATAATTTGGCTGACTCTTTATGAAATAAACATTTGGCAGAGATAAAAAGTTTGCTTTAAACACTGACTGAATAAGATATTCATCATGTCTGCCTCATTTACCCAATCCATTCATTCTCCCAGCCTGAAAAAAGCAATTAAAAACTAAGTGCTTACAATTATCTCGTTTTTTTGTCATTAGTTTGTTTGGCTTTGAGCTTGTAACCAGCCACTATAAAAGAAAGTTGATTGGGGACTAAAATAGCCTCAAATCGCCCATTTACAAGTGAGCCAAAACATCAGTGGATTAATGAATTTCAATCAAGTGTATTATTCACTGAGGTTATTTACGCTGTTTGTTCCTGGATGGTCCGCAGGGGGCGCTGGAACATATTTGCATATGACTTTTTTGTGAGATGTGAAAAATTGTGCTATCTTGGAAAT